TCAAATCTATCAAATCAATCAAATCTATCAAATCAATCAAATCAATCAAATCAATCAAATCAATCAAACCAATCAAATCTATCAAATCTATCAAATCTATCAAATCTATCAAATCTATCAAATCTATCAATCAAATCAATCAAATCTATCAAATCTATCAAATCTATCTATCTATCTACCTATCTATCTATCTATCTATCCATCTATCTATCTATCTATCTAATCTATCAATCTATGTATCTTTCTATCTATCAAATCTGTCAAATCTATCAAATCTATCTATCTATCTATCTATCTCTCTCTCTCTTTCTTTCATCTGTCTATCTGTCTAGCTGTCTATTTGTCTATCTACCCATCTATCTATCTATCTATCTATCTGTCTGTCTATCTATCTATCTATCTATCTCTATATCTCTCTCTCTCTCTCTCTTTCTTTCATCTGTCTATCTGTCTAGCTGTCTATCTGTCTATCTACCCATCTATCTATCTATCTATCTAGCTATCTATATACAATGGATGGGACTAGTCTAGGCAATGGATGGAAATGGTGGAACAAAGGAGCCTGAAGACTGGGACTCGATGAGATGGTGTGGATGGAGTATAGTGATTATATATATATAATGATTGGTATTAGCAATAATATAGTAATAATATATATCTATATAGTAATAATAGTATAGTAATAATATATACATCATCAGTTGATATTATGATTGGCGATTATGACTATTATAAAATATGATCACTTATCATTGCATCGTCAGTTATCATTTTGATCACATATATGGCCAATAGTTATTATACCAATAATTGGATGGAATAGTCCAATAGTGCTTATAAATGGTTGGTGGTTTCAACCCCCTCCGAAAAATATGAAAGTCAGTTGGGATGATTGTTCCCAATATATGGAAAATAATCCCAATGTTCCCTACCACCAACCAGATACCAATTAGTCAATGGGAAGGGTTATTCCCAAAATATGATGGAAAAATAATCCAAATGCTTGAAACCACCAACCAGTAGTGATTAATTATATCACAGATTGAGTATTGATCGTTCTGCATTCCCATATCCCCATGATATACCCCACTCATATCCCACTGCATATAATCAATAAGATGAGTGGATAAATGATGATCATGTAATCCCCACTAATCATTGTTAATCCGCATATACCCATATACCCCACTAATCATGGAATAATAGGGATTAATTCCCATATACCCCACTAAGCATTGTTAATCATTCCCATATCCCTATTTTGAGCGCATAATATGATGATTAATGATTCATGATGATCAATTCATGATGAACACTGTACGGTTCTGGTCCACCAGCCAGTGTATCATTCATATTCCCATATATTTACTGGTAGCAATCCATATATATATAGATAGATGATGGTTCAATCCCCATATCTGATGTTTATGGTTATAATATACTAATTGTTGATAGTATACTTGGCAGCTTCGCTTTTGCAGGGCGTACTGGACTCATGATCAACTGGGCTCCGTGGAGTGGATTGCGAGCTACCCAATAGCTGCATGGTTTAGAAACCAAGGAGATACATACAATGATATGGGGGGTTCCATAAATAGGGATACCCAAAATTCATGGTTCAAAATGGGAAATCCTATGAACATGGATGATCTGGAGTAGCCGTATTTTGGGAAATCTCAATTGATACGACTTATGAAACTGGTTAAAACAAAACTCGATGGGACTTGGTGAAGATGGAGGATAGTAGGGGTGCAGTGGCCAGCTGGAAAAAAGAATGGGGAGGTCAAAAACTCCAGAAACATGGGATTGATGACAAGTGCAGATCTAGGAGAAGATGGCATGAAAAATGATGGGCTAGCCGCATGGCTAAGAGATAGACATGTCCAGCGAAAAGACGACAACATCAGTCCAACTTGCACGTTGCTTCATATGTAGTTACATACATAATCATACATACCACCTAAACATATTGTGTAAAAATGTGATCATAAGTTGTTAATCGTAAACAAATGAACATTTGTTTTATGAACATAACCTTAATTATATAAGAGGTTACTCTGGTAAACTAACAGTTTGCTATATGAAAATGACCCATGTATAGTTGTTTTACCTATGAACAGTTCGTGATTTTCCAGTTCGCTTCCAGGTCGGCCAGGTCACATCGCTTCCGCATCACCGGTCATGACCTGGCATAAAAAATGGGAAGTCGCTTCGGCGTGCGTAACGGCTGGATTTCAACCAGGAGTTCAGGCAGTTTCATTGGGCTTGAAATGGGATATATATATATATGATGGTAATCTGGTTGGTGGTTTTTCGCCCTACCCCTCTGAAAAATGATGGAGTTAGTTCGTCAGTTGGGATGATTAATTATTCCCAATATATTATGGAAAAATAATCCAAATTTTCCCAACCACCAACCAGTAATTACATGTAATTACTTCATCTGTTTATTTTAACATAGCTATGGAAGCCATGGCCTATATACTTCGATGATTGAAGATTAGTTGGTTGAGAACGGTTTCCCTACTATGGCTTATCAAAGTCCCCAGGTAGTATAAGTATGTATAGGTCCCAATAGTAACCAATCAACCAGGATATTTTTAATTTTTAATAGCTCGATTGGGATTCATGGGATATATGATGCTATACCCTCTGCTTATTTGAAATAGCCGAGCCGGAAGCCATGGCCTTATAAGTTCGATGATTTTTGGTGATTTACTGATTTGTTGATTTTGCTATTTATGACGATTTAGCTTTTGAAAATGGCCATTCATAGTTGATTTGCCCATTAAAAATGTGGATTTTCCATGGCTACGTTTAATTCGCAGAGAGTTTTCTCAGAGGCATCACCATCCGCAAGAATGAAACAAACGGTTTGAAACATTCCTTGCATCATGAAACGATTAATATTAGTTGCATCAAAACAACAGGCATTGAAAAATCGGACCCTTTTTTAACAGGGTCACGACAAACATTACAAGCTTGTAGCCTACCGGTGATGTTCCGCACTTAACAACATAAAAAGCAGGTGGTTCAAACAATACAATATAATACCTTCCAAAAGCATCAAAATCAGGAAGCCAATCACCGTGACCATTCAAAGGTGCCATGTAAAAACCATCAATATCAACAAGCATCACCTGGTGGTTTGCTGATCCCGTGCCAGTCCCGAGTAACTCAGTAGGGGTATACCCAATCGTAAACCGATAAAATTGGAGATGATTTACATGTTTACTGTAACTGGGAAAAATGCGTATGATATATATACTGTATATATATATACACATATATCCAGTATATATATATATGTATAGGTATACTAATTCCATATTCTTGGCCCGGTTATATAGTTTGTTCATGGCTGGCTTTACCTCATATCCAACTATATCCCTATCATATTACCAGTCCACTGCTTGGTTGAATCATTCAGTCCACCAGAATTAGGTTTACCACAGTATAGCACCCCCCAAATAAAAATAACAATGCAAGTCATATCATGTCAAATCCCACAAAAAAATAGTCGTAAGTTGTCCCACTGCTCTGAATCTACTGGATTATTGGGAGGTATTGCAGTTATTATAGAACCCCAGTAGCTACTACCAGTAGACTATACCTCAAGCTATAGTTATTATACATAATATTATACTATACCAATATGTTATCCCCCAGTTATTGGAATCTACTACCAGTTACTATTGCTTGGTCAATATTGAACCCCAAAACTGATTGGAGTTGAATCTCCCCAAAGATCTGTGCACGATGTTTCGCAGTTCCAGTTCGATCCAGATTGTACCACCATTGTGACAAACATCTATGGCTTCAATGTGTTGGTTAATCTGGATATTAACCATGTACTGTACCCCTGCTGGTTGGTGGCTTCAACCTACTATTGGTTGGTAATATACTGTTAGTATATGGTTAATATTAATGGTTATTATATGGTTAATGATGGTTAATAATAATCTGGTTGGTGGTTTCAACCCCTCTGAAAAATGATGGAGTTCGCCAGTTGGGATTATGACATTCCCAACTGAATGGAAAGTCTTGCCATCCATTCATGTTCCAGTCACCACCAGATAAAAATCAGGGTGGATGATTTCTATGGTGGATTTCCCCATTGGGAAAATAAACAATCACCGACTAAACAAAACCCAGTGTACCAAGATTTGTAGCATTACTTCCACCTCCCGAGATTCACCTCCAATGGCATCTACTAATGATCACCAAGCTATGGAAAATGCTGATTTAATGGGATTTAATGGGATTTAATTGGATTTAATGGGATTTAATGGGATTTAGGATGGTATACCCTCTGGTAAACTAACGGTTAGCTATGGAAAATAACCATAGACATAGTTGATTTACCCATTAATAGCATGATGATTTTCAATAGTTATGTAACAGTTTACCAGAGGGTACCCTCTTGTAAACATACAAAAAATAAGTGGAAGACCATGAATGTAGATCATGTTCCAACCTTCTCAGGCTATCGAAAATAGGTGTTTTGCGCATATCTTTTCGTATACCAAGGATTATATGCAATGTTTTCCACCACTGAAATTGATATTCTCATTCAATCCCTATGATTATCCCATGGTGAACCTTCCAGATTATCAGAATCTAAATCCATTGATGACCGGACATGATTCGGTAATCACTATAATTTGATAGTTGGGTAATCGTCAACAAAAGTGGGTATACTTATATGTCAATATAATTGAATACATATATATCCTCTATATGTATATATAAATCTCAATAATCCAACTCATCAATATATGATCAATATTCACTTATATGTCGCATTACAAATATCTATAGTACAGTACATTATGAAACTATACATCAATTAAACACATGTGATCAATATTCGCTTTAATATCCCATTAACTACTATAGAAATATCTATAATCGTATTACTTTGTGTTAATATCCCATTACATATCGTATTACGATAGATATTAATTAATATCCCATTGCATATCGTATTAATATAATCAATTTTCACTTTGTAAAACGAATGAACCAGTGTACAAAGTGAATCAATTCATTGATTAGATATGAGTTGTAATTCCTATAGCAATCAATTCACCAGGGTATTTTGAATGGCTCAAGTATCTGGGTAAATTATAATATTTCACTAACCTGAATAGTTTGGCCATTTTGGGATGATTTCCCTTATTAACTATGATTCCAGTGAAGGAGAACAGTGAGGTCGTGATGAAATTTACCCAGGTATGTGATATTTACATGATAATCACCAGTGATAATCATCATTAATAACCATTTTCATAGCTAATATCACTATAATAATGGTTATTAATTACTATTAATGGTTGGATTATTTTCATGATGGAAACAAATGATAGACCATTATAACCACTATTAAATAACGATTAATGTATCTACTTCCTCCAACTCGGCCAAACCGACTGTGCAAAAACTCCACCTGCTGACGCAGGTTGGCTCCCACAAATGTGGGCAAGGGTCTGATACCTCGGGGTCCATGGGGTCCATGGCTACAACGCGTGGTCAGCGTGGCTGAAAGCCATGAAACAATGCTGGTTATTAATATGATTTACTGTGGTTAAAGCCATGAAAAAATTGCTTTTCATGAAAACACATATGGAATTTAAAAGATGATTTTATCATGATTGGATTTTGGTATTGGAAAATGGGGTTCAACTCTTCAAAATGAGGAAAAGTAGCATCAGAATTGGGATTGAAGAAAGACATCGACAGATTTAGCCAAGAAACATGTGCATTCTATAGATTCTGATTAGAAAAGACATTGATTTATATAGGGAAATAATAATCTAAAGAAATAATCCATGTATAGGGATCCCTACATTCTATTAATATTAAGACGTGGATTAATAAGAATCCATATTAGATGTCTTTTATAGGGATTAATCCACGGTTTGGTTTAGGCATTCACAGGAAAACCCTGTAGCTGTGGGTCCTGTGGGTTTTAATTTCAGTCCAGCGAGTCGGGTAAGATATGGTGGGATACATCGGAACTCCAAAAGTATCCCAAGAATTATATGACAATATGGAGAGATTATATATCCATTAAAACTTGCCATTTATAGTAGATTTACCCATTAATAGCATGGTGATTTTCAATAACTATGATATAGCTATAATTATATCTGCTTGGTGGTTTTAACCATCTTGAAAAATATGAAAGTCAAATGGGGAGGATTATCCCATATATAATGGAAAATAAAACATGTTCCAAACCACCAACCAGATATTTCAGAGATGATTGTCGGCATCATTATGTCCAATGTGTAAACACCTTTTTGTTGCCCTCTGGTAAAACACATAACTATGGAGCACAACCATGCTATTGATGGTTAAATCAACTATTTCAATGGCCATTCTTAATAGCTAACCGTTAGTTTACCAGAGGGTAATGATTTTTGCCACCCTTTGGAAGATAGTTCAACTTGTTCAACCTGGAAGGATCCAATCGTCATCATTTTGCATGAAATTGGCCTTTTTCGGTTGATGTAAGTCATCCAGAAAAGTGCAAATTCCCAAGTGTTCCACATTTGATGCTAAAAAACAGTCCTTTTTTGCTGCTCCAATCTTCACAAAACATACAATTTCTTTCATGCTTCAACCAATGCTTCAACCGCCATTTCCACTATTTTTAGATTCATCCAAAAAAAAACTATATGGGGATGGATCAAAACCTATAAAAATGCCATAGTTCACAATTAACATCCATTAAAACTAGCTATAGCTACCCAGGGTACCCAGAAAACCACCCAGCCCAAGCCCAACCACTTCCCCGGTCTCTCCGCGGCACATTGGGCCGCTTCAGGATCGTCCACTGGTATGGGTCCCGGCCCTTCCAGGTGCATGTGGATGGTCCTCAAATTCCTCACCGAACAACCGACGCGAAACATGTGGAAAACCTGCTGCGTTTTTATCACCAGAAATACCCTCTGGTAATTTAACATAGCTATTGAAAATGGCCATTTATAGTGGATTTTCCCATTAAAAATGGTGATTTTCCATAGCTATGTTAAATTACCAGAGGGTATGGAAGAAATGCTGCGTTTTTATGACCAGAAATATGGTGATATGAAGTGATGAGTGGTGATTTTTAAAATGGGATATGAATGGCGATATTTATCAGCAATCGTATCTGCGCCGTGGTCAAAACATGGTATATGGTTTATGGTCGTCCATCTCATTTCTGGTTATATAATTTTAGTCTCTATTAATGGATGACTTGAAGACGGGGGTCCAAGATTCCATGTTGGATTTTTAGTTAAGTCGATGGAAGAAAACAAGTGGGCTTGATTGAAGACGGGAGCATCTGTACACCGCTGTGTAACGCCATCAAAACAAATCCGTCTGAATCCTTGAATGCGTAACTTCGGCATTTCTCTCATCCAACTTGGATTTACTTCAAGGGCCAAAAAAACAACAAACATATGGCAGTGTGTCAAAACCTTGTACCCCTGGTGAACATCAAAATAGCTGGTAAATGGATGTTCATCCCCCTAAAAATGGTATTAATAGGTATTGATCCATACCCATATGAGTTTCAAATTCTTATTTTCCGGGAGAATACGGTCACAAATCACATGCCATGCCATGGGCTCCGTTCACACTGAGAGCCATCCAAGCAGTTGGAGCGGAGGTGGACGGAGGCCGTCCCCAACCAGTCATGTAAAAAATGGCTATGACGCAGGGACCGAAATTAGAGGATATTAGACATTTCAATGGCTAATATATGGTTATTATATGGTTAATGATGGTTAATATTAAACTAAATGAGAGGTACCGATACCATGTATTTTTGGCCTATTTTTTAGGCCTAAATTTCAGGGAATACATGAATACCTCCACAAAATAAGGCCTGAAAAATGGTACCATTTTAGGGTCCTGAAAGTCCCATTGATCATATCAATGTTCAGGAACTCAGCCCCCCCCAAAGATGTTGTGGCCGCAAGCCGTATATAGATCTTGCATGGAACAAAACCCGTGTTCAACCAGCAACACATGGCCTAACAAAGACTGTGTGACATGTTTAGACCCCCCCCCAACATCTGCGCAAATTGCAAACAAAACACAAATAATGGGACAGCAAATAATGGGACAGGGACACAAAGCAATTTGTGGGATAGTATCCCCCCTACTGACTACCATCTATGTTTTGTATTTAATCATAATCCCTTCCCCCCATTATTGAACATCCCGCAGAAACCATGGTTTAGTGCGGATTTACACATATTTGGGACCATAGAATTGGGGTATTGAACATCGGGGGGATGGAATTACCCATTGCATTCCCATTATGGTTGGAAATCCCCTTCTATTCCTTTAAACAAAAAATCATCAACACCTAATATACCACACATATCCATAAATCCTTACTATCATCTATGGTTGGATAATATTGGTTGGAATATCACTGGAGGTATTTGTGAAATCTGTACATCATGGAATATGACTATGACTTCTATGACTCCTACAATGTGGTCCCCCACTTCGTTAGCTAAGTTGGTTTATAACTCCAATAACTATGGTTTATCATACTTATAAGTATAGTATTCATGGGGGTTATAAACCAACTTATAACTGGGGGGCCTCACATTGTATATATATTTAATATTCCCATAGTTTTCGATGATTTCCCCGTAGTTTTCCAAGATTTTCCCATGAAAAAAACTCCCTGGATATGATCAGCCGCGGCACCGAAGTTTTTGAGCCTTGGCCACATTGATCATCCCCTGCCGAGACCGTAGGCAACCACGGTCGAGAACATGAAGGGAAGTTGGGTTTTTCGAATGGTGTGAAATATCAAAGCATAATGGATTATGATCATCCCCTATATAGTGTCTTATACATATAGTGTCTTATATATATGTATGTATATATATATACGTATATAATCCCCTATAGAAATCAACCAACAAGGGTGTTGAACACTGCTCACTTAGAAACGTTTGGACAGTGTTTCATGACTTGAGGGCTGCCCAATACAGCCCTCAATCTATCTATAGATGCTGCAAATGGTGGATTTACCATTTGGAGATTTGGAAAATCAACGATTAAATGAGACAAACCAAGGTTTCTGAAACTTCTGATGTCAATCCAGCAAGCAACAAACTGGCCCGTGTTGATGCCTTGAGTGATGAAGTCGATGTCACATCATAAGATCTAATGAGGTTGATCAAGGGAACAGGACACACTGAGAACGCCTTGGCAGGATCTAATCCTGACAGCACATGCCCCTAGTCGGCTTGGGCCTGAAGGCCTTTCAGCTGCTCGAGCTCAAGTTCTTTACCTCTGAAGGCCATCTCCAACAAATAGGCAGCAATAAGCTGTACTTATTGTATGTCCCAGAGACCGGCTGTGGCGGCGCAGCGCTGTCTGATCTTGGAACACCCGATGGCAACTCCAACACACAGAAGCACCAGCGTGCTGTTGACGCTGGTGCTGTTCCAGTTCGCCGGAAAGGACAAGCCTGTTGCAGGTACCACACCTTTCTTGGCCACCAACCCGAATTTCTGCTGATTCCCAAGGAGGCACCACGCTGCCGCTGCCCAAACCGATGTTTCCCGTTCCTACCCTTGATCAAGAAATTCTCAAGACCAGATACTTCATGAACATCTGATGTGCCTGAATAGTTTGGCCATTTTGGGATGATTCCCCTTATTAACTATGATTCCAGTGAGGGAGAACAGTGAGGTCGTGATGAAATTTACCCAGATGAATGATACTTCAATTACCCTCTGGTTATTTAACATAGCCATGGAAAATTGCCCATTTATAGATGGTTTACCTATTAAAAATGGTGATGTTCCATGGCTCTTTAACAAATAACCAGATGGTAAGTTACACAACTACTATGCAGCCAGAGTTTAGCTCACACTCTTGGACCATTGGACGAGATATGAACTGACTGAAACAATGGCTAGTGAATGGAGCATAACTGGCCCCATTATTATCATGGTATAATTAATGGGAGATAACATAGTATAAACTATAGGTTATGGGATATAACATAGGGTATATACTACTCCATAACTGGGATATTAATATTCTGGTTGGTGGTTTTAACCATCTTGAAACACATTAGTCAATGGGAAGGATTATCCCATTTGGAAAATAAAAAAATGTTTGAAACCACCAGCCAGATAAAGTTATAACTCTTAGCATTTCTAACTGACTTATTTCATGACATATCACCAACTAGTTACGGGAGTTGTGTCCATCCCATTTTTGGCACATAGATTTCGGGCCATAACTGTACATGAGCATCTACAGTCCCACTATGTCCTGACCCTAGTCACTATCATTCTTATCATAGGAATACATGGCCCCCATGGATACAATTCCGCATCAATTTCTTGTGGACGATATATATATATCCCCATTCTGGCTACTTGTCACCTCCCTTTCATCAGTTTCATGTAGTATCTATATATATATACACTGTATATATATAACCATTCAGTTTCTGCGTAATCATGAAGGAATCATGGTTTTAGCTTTCTATGATACCCCCTTGTTTTTGCTATGACAAAAATACAAACAGTTGTACGAACTGGAATCATAGTTCATTGATTGTTCATCATATTTCTATATGTCTTAACATTAAAAAAAACAATTATACCCTGCATTATTTCTACCAAAGCGGAATCCATGCATTTCGTGTCGCAGCCACCCCCTGCTCTCTCCACACCTGCATCAGAGGCTGTGGTGTGGCAGCGCCTGCATGAATGAAAACCATGCCGTCGCTTTTCAGGTACCTGAAATCCAAAGTGCGGCGGAAGAAAAAACAGAAACACACCATTAAAAAAAGAACACGATCAAAAAGGGCTTATGTTTCAAGATGCTTTAAGTTTTGGCTCTATCATATAACCAAAAATCGCTTTCCTTCAAGTCTTCACGCTCCACTATTGGGTTGATCCATCGACCTAGGGTGTCCCCAAGGATAGCTAGGTTGGTGTGAATTCCATGGTTCATGGTAAATATACCCAAGGATTCACATTACCTACAACTGGAAGTTGCTGTGGCAGTTACGCTGCGATTTCATTGGGATACAATCCAAAGGTAATGGCATATAATCGCTTATAAACACCCCGGAAAGTCAGAAAAAAACAGGTCCAGTCCGGTTGTGGTTTTAAAGCCCACTGAAACAAACAGATACCCTTTGGTAATCAAAAGTGGCTGGAGAGTTCCCAACAAAACTGGAGGTTAGCTGGGAAAATCTTCGAACTATGGGGGATGTCCAATTGCTATATATGTTTGATGATTACTGGAGGGTACCCTCTGGTAAACTAACGTAACTATGGGAAATCACAATTTTTAATGGGAAAATCCACTATAAATGGTCATTTTCAATAGCTATGTTAAATTACCAGAGTGTATGTTTGATGATTACTGGAGGGTAGATTTCTGAGCAGATCGTCCACCTTCGCGGAAACCCAGAGAATGGGACCCCTATTCCTATTCCTGACCTCAGTCGTATGGGAGGTGCATGGGAAACATATGGGAACGGAAGGTCCCATCATTGGGGATACCAGCAAACAGCCTGACCTCTCAAGTCGAACTAGCTCAGGCTCGGTGCACTTGTCTTGACAGTTTACAGTTGACAGTTGGAAAAAACTATCCCCCTTTAAAATATAAAAGTCAACTGAGATGTTCAATCCGAGGTAGCATTCTAGAATGATGTTTGAGATCACTTATCAGTTTGAATATTCTGGAAGAATGCTCAGAGGATTCAAGCCTTCAAACGCATCTTTTCGCAACCTTTCACGTTGGAATTTATATACCAACAACATCCATAACCCTGATATATAATCCCAATCATGACTAAATCCCATTGTTCATTAGGTAAATCACCATCTTCATTCGTTCAATTCTCATTCTTCATGCTAACAGTGCCAATCTTTGATAATCCATGCAAAAAAAACATCTTAGATGGTTAGTAGATAATCCCATTGATACCAAAAGACTAAAGGATAGGTTTCTACCCATCCAAGATTGACCTAGCTAAATACTCCCAGAAAACATCCAATAAGTATCCCATGTCTGCTTTCGTTTCAGGCTCTCCCCAGGTGGCCGCTTAAAAGTTCAGAACGATCAACGAGTTCGTAACTAGTTTGATATATGGGGGTTACCCAAAATAGGGGTACCCGCAATCATCCAAAATTAGACTATATTTTCATCTTAAAACCCATGGTTTTGGGGTACTTCATAACTCATCCCCAATTGAACCATAGGTGGTATATGGTGGTATAAACTTACCATTCCCAGTCGTGGGTGGTCAAAATGGCCTTGGTTTGACCCACATTTTACCCATTTATCTACCCGACCTAGTAAACTGTTACATAACGAACTGGAAAATCACCATGCTATTAATGGGTAATTCCACTATTTCTATGGCAATTTTCAATGGCTATGTTTACCAGAGGGTATATGAATAGGAATATCGAACTATGTAGATTAGTGGTGATTGATGGGATATAACATGATATAAATATCCATGGGATATCCCAGTAGATATCATTATGATATAACATGATATAATCATAAACCCAACTATAGTAACTATCTTATCTATATAAATAGGAATATCTGAATATGTATATTCATAGTTATATAAACTTATATAATAATGTCATATATATATATATATATATATCAATGGATTGGTTTAAGGGAAAATCTACAGGAAACCATAGATTTTCCCATTAAATATGGGGCTTTCCTGTAAAATTTCCCTTAAACCAATCCATTGAATATATAATAAACCATCAGAAACCCAACTAAGACTAAAAGTGACTAGGAGTTATCTTCAACATCTCGCGATCGCCACGGTGCGGCTCCAAGGCTTCTTCGGCAGTCTGGCAGACCCGGGGACTTTTCCCGAGGCGGATGGTATTCCTGGCCGGAAAAACGGCCGAAAAGTCACGGTGGATGAAACATGGTGACTTGACCATGAAACATGGTGATTTCAGCAAATTAAACTTGGTCATTGAAAAACATGGTGATTTGAAACAACAAATTTAACCATTATCTGGTGAAATTTCACAGCAGTTATCTAAACAATAGTGATAACTGACCATGAACTAACAAAAAAGTGTGTCTTTTTCATCTGGAACCATGAAAACACCGTTGATTTCAGCAACAGAAATTCTGATTTTTCAGCAGGCGCTGAGGATGCCCAGCGTGTTGGTTTATTTAAGCGCCGATCAAAAGTTATTTCGCCATATCCAGAAATGTTTCATTTATAAGCCATATATTTACAGATCATTTCCATATATCCCGCAGTTAATGTCAAGCCTGGAATAATAAACACCGTTTATGGCTGTTTAATTGGGAGGCTACCATTTAAGTATCAGATTGTGACTATTTGGGCCCCTAATTAATAAACCATGGTTTATTAATCCGGGGTTGGCATTATTGGAGTTATGTTCACCAACTTGGCAGTTCATCGGGGACCCACCTGGTGGGTGATTCATGGTGATTTTCATGGTGATTTTCATGGTGAAACCATCAAAGATTGTGGTTAATATACGTTAATATTGTTTAATGGCGATTTGATCATGACAAATTGATCATTGAATATTGTTAAACCATCCTGAAATTAGGATTAATGTAAAGCCAATATGATATCATAGTCAATGCGTTTCAATATCGCCTATGTGGTCCCCCGAACAAATAGATCCAATACTATAAATCAGGTGTTGATTCTAGAGGTGTATTTTATATTCTGGGAGAGTGATGCGATTGTGGAGAAAGGTGGAGATAGATGTTGCGCAAATCGTGCCATAGCAGCAACATGCAACAACTATACGAATAGAACAAGGATAGGGATGTACACACCAAAATGCGCATACTTGGGACCCAACATCACTGCGAATGAATGCCTGCTAAAGCAAACGTGAAACATGCCCTAAAATTGCCACTTCAACGTCACTTCAACATGGATAATCTTAGATACCAAACAACATGCTATAGCTAGTTGGTAGATATTCCTATTGAAATCGCAGAAGATTGGTTGACCTGATTCGCCGGGAGTCCCCATATGAGATTGGTATCATACAGAGTCCAGACATCTGCATCCTGTCCAAAATGTGGAAATATGTAGTAAACCCACACATAAACACTAAGTTGCTATGAATATTTATGAATCATGAAACCATATCTGTCTTGGCTGGTGCTGCTAGAGCCATACTAGCTTTCACTGGTGGTGGAACGTGCTTGGGTGCGGCTTTCTCCACTGAAGGAGGTACTAGTGCGGCATCCAGCATCCAGCCACTCTTCAACTTTCGATCTGCTATGGTGCTCGTGGAGGTGGTAAGGGCTGGCTCTTCCCTCCAGCTGATGCTTTTACTGGCACCCTTTGAGCTCCATACGGTCCAGTCCGATCAAAACCATCCGTTCTCCTAGATGGTCTATCTTCAGCTGAATTCGCCAGGAGTGGTTTGCTGGTAATACCCGGAATACTGAGACCTTGTAAGCCCACCTGTGCTTGATCCATTGGCCTTCCGTACTGCAAAAAGGCTGAGATAGGTTTGTCGGCATGAAATTGTTTCACGTTACAGTTCGGTCCTAATTTCAGTGATCAGGGAGCACCCTGTCAACATCTCCGCTCCCTTGGGAACAGTTGGCCATTGTTTAACCAACATTTCAAGTGATGGTGTGTTCACGTTCGCTTGAAAAATAATGTCGCACAGTAGGAACCCGCACAAACAAAATCCAGTACTGTCGTCAATCATCTCGAGTGATGACAAATTCGTGCATTGGGCCGATCACCTGCCGAAAAACTTGTTTTGCAAATGGTTGAGGTCCAAATCCCCCGTGGTTTCTTGGCAAACCTTGTCTCGTTGTTTTAAAGCTGAATTTAAATATTTTCAAATCCATTCTCTCCTTGCTGAAATCCATCATGTTTTCTCATCCACATCGTTAAACTACTATTTCGGACAGTTGTTCACCAGTTAAAATTGCTATATTCACTTAAAAACATATGAATACCCCAGTTAATACCAGTAGTACCGCGCAAGGCGGTGGCGGAATTTTCAAAAATAGGAAACCTATTGGAGAGGTTGGTTGTTGTGAATCACAGATGGCAGAACGAAGCCACTGATGGACCGACAGGTGGTTGAGGTCTCCTCTCTCTCTCTCTCTCTCTCTCTCTCTTTCTCTTTCTCTGACTAACTACCTACCTACCTATCTATCTATGTATCTATCTACCTACCTACCTACCTATCTATCTATCTATCTACCTACCTACTTATCTATCTATCTATCTATCTATCTATCTGTCTATCTATCTATCTATCTATCTGTCTATCTATCTATCTATCAATCAATCAATCAGTCAATCAATCAGTCAGTCAGTCAATCAATCAATCAATCAAATCAATCACTCACTCACTCACTCACTCACTCAATCAATCAATCAATCAAATCTATCTATCTACCTACCTATCTATCTATCTACCTACCTACCTACTTATCTATCTATCTATCTGTCTATCTATCTATCTGTCTATCTATCTATCTATCTATCTATGTATCTATCTATCTATCTATCTACCTACCTATCTATCTACCTACCTATCTATCTATCTACCTACCTACTTATCTATCTTTCTATCTATCTTATCTATCCATCTGTCTATCTACCTATCTATCCATCCATCCATCCATCCATCTATTCTATCTATCTCTCTCTGTCTGTCTGTCTATCTATCCATCCATCTATCTATCAAATCTATCTATCTATCTGTCTATTTATCTATCTATCTATCTATCTATGTATCTATCTATCTATCCATCTGTCTGTCTATCTATCTATCCATCCATCTGTCTGTCTATCTATCTATCTATCCATCCATCTATCTATCAATCAATCAAATCTATCTATCTGTCTGTCTATCTATCTACCTATCTGCAAGCTTGAAAACGAAACTATTCTGCGAGGCGTCCTCAGGTTTTGAACTTGACAACATCAAAAACGGAGCAATTCTATGAGACTTCCTCAATGTTTGAACTTGACAACGTCGAAAACAAAACAATTCTGCGAGACTTCTTCATTTTTTGAACTTGACAACATCCAAAACGAAGCAATTCTGCGGGACTTCTTCAATTTTTGAATTTGACAACATCAAAAACAAAGCAATTCTGCGAGACTTCCTTCAAAAATGGAAAGTTGAGTTGAGCGCTTACGGCCTCGTACCAATGCGTTTTGCAATTTTTCCACTCCACCTGTCTAAAGTACTGCGCCTGCCGCGAAAAAGTGATGCCAGGTCATGCAAAGTGCTGCACCCGTCACGCAAAATCATCTTAGCAAACCTACAGATCTGATGCTCCAAAATGCAACCCATCTCAGGAAATCAGCGCCCTGACCTCCTAACATCTCTGATGAACATGTCTTTTGTACTGCGCCTGCTGCGCGAAATGCAGTCCCCTGTCAATTAAGGGGTGGGGTTGTGCAACCATTTTGTAGTGAAGAAACGGCTTGCATAGCCTCAAGCTCTACTAAATGGATGTGCATGCATGATCGAATTTCACTAGTAAATGTGGGCCCCTGGTTCAGCTGAAGCGCAAAATTCGGATATATTTTCAGAGTGTCTTAAGACGCCAACATGACCCGACCAAACGCCCTGTTCCATTTGGTAGAGGTACTCGTTATCTTTGAAGATATTCTTCATATGTCCCACGCCTGCCATCGTTTTTGGAAATGCTGCAAAACCCTCACGTTTTGCTCACTTTTGACAAGGTCCACAATCCCTTGCGCCTGCCACGCGAAACGATATCTGAACGTCCTAAAGTGGTCCGAACCTGGTGTGCTTTGTACATTTTGACTTCGAAATGTGCTTCACGCCACAACGGCGTGCACTTTTTCGACATCTCAACTTCCAAAAGTGGTCCGAACCTGGTGTGCTTTGTACATTTTGACTTCGAAATGTGCTTCGCGCCACAACGGCGTGCACTTTTTCGACATCTCAACTTCCAAAAGTGGTCCGAACCTGGTGTGTTTTGTACATTTTGACTTCGAAATGTGCTTCGCGCCACAACGGCGTGCACTTTTTCGACATCAACTTCCAAAAGTGGTCCGAACCTGGTGTGTTTTGTACGTTTTGACTTCGAAATGTGCTTCGCGCCACAACGGCGTGCACTTTTTTGACACATCAACTTCCAAAAGTGGTCCGAGAATGGTGTGCTTTGTACATTTTGACTTCGAAATGTGCTTGGCGCCACAACGGCGTGCACTTTTTCGACATCTCAACTTCCAAAAGTGCTCCGAACGTAAGGTGCTTTTTGCCTTTTCACTTGCAAATGTGCTTCGCGCCACAACAGCGTGCACTCATCTGGCCAGATGGCTCCGCACCCGCCGCTTTAGCGAGCCTACTTTTCGACCCTCAGGACCCACAAATCATTCTGACTCTTTCTCTTCTCTGATCTTCTCTCTTCTACTCTTCTCTTCTCTCTGACTCTTCCCGTCTCTGCTTTTCATTGTCGGAAGTTTGACTTCTAAACTTCCTTCAATGATAATTAACCAGTTACCCTCTGGTAATTCAACATAGCTATTGAAAATACCCCATTTATAATTGATTTACCTATTCAAAATTGTGATTTCTATAGCTATGTTAGTTTACCAGAGTGTAAATCCTATTAAACCCCATTAGATCCCATTAAACCACCACAAAATCCCATTAAACCACCATAAAATCCCATTAAACCACCATAAAATCCCATAAAATCCCATTAAACCACCATAACATCTTATTAAATCTTATTAAATCCCATTAAACCACCATAAAATCTTATTAAATCCCATTAAACCACCATAAAATCCCATTAAACCACCATAAAATTCCATAAAATCCCATTAAACCACCATAAAATCTTATTAAATCTTATTAAATCCCATTAAACCACCATAAAATCTTATTAAATCCCATTTAAACCACCATAAAATCCCATTAAAACACCATAAAATCCCATTAAAACCGGTAATAGTTCAACTATTCCAGCCTCAGGAAATCCAAGCGGAATCCCGTGCCTTTCCACGCCGTGTTCGTGGATGTTCAGCGCCGCGCTTAAGCTGCCGGGTGCTGAGGAGATGGCGGTGGACCTGGGTGGAGACCGAGGAGATGGGGCCCCCAGTCGAGCGATAGCGTGAACCGTTGGTGAACATAAGTGGCTGAAAAAACCATGGTTTATGGTAGATATGGAGGTTTACCCTCTGATAATGGTGGTTTAATGGTGCTTTAATGGGATAACAAAACCAAGAAACATGGTGATTTCTAGATGGGATATACTGATATACCCTCTGGTTATGTCAACAGTTTGCTATTGAAAATGGCCATAGAGATAGTGGATTTTCCGATTAAAAATGGTGATTTTCCATTGCTATGTTAGTTTACCAGAGGGTAACGAACTAGTTAATGGGGATTATTTCATGGTTTATAAACCAACTTATAACTGGGGGGGCCCAACTATGAAAAATGGTGGTTTAATGGGATAAAAGACCAACAAACATGGTGATTTCTAGATGGGATATACCCTCTGGTTATTTGTTACAGTTCGCCATGGGATGCACATAGAAATAGATGGTTTACCGAACTTAAAAATGGTGATTTTCCATGGCTATGTAACAAATAACGAGATGGTAAATAAGATATCCCATAACGTATTCCCAATACCCTCCGGTAATCAAACATGGCAATGGAAAATCCGTCCTTTTTAGATAAGTTTTCCATAAAACCTGCAGTTATCTATAAAGGTTTTGCAATTGATCTGGGGTCTCTGGAAATGGATTCTTGGGTCTTTCCAAATATTGTATATATGGTGGAATTGAATTGTAGTATTTGGCACTATAACATAAATAAAGTCAATACTGATTCAATATGATAATATATTGAGAATATGTATACATATATATATATTGATTTGTCACTAAACCATGATTACTAAACAATATATATATATGTGTTAACAATATAAATCTTAGAGACTGTATGTGTATATAATATATATATATAGTGAATATGATAATATGTCCAGAATATAACTATATATATATACACCATCTATCAGTAAACCATCATTACTAAAAATGTGTGTATATATAAATATATGTATACTAACAACAAACAATAGAGAATATATATATATACATACATGTATAACATCTAGTCAATATGATAATATATTGAGCGTATATATATATATATTGATCAGTAAACCATCATTACTAAATATATATATATATATTTATACTGTATACATATGCCACATATAAATATGAATATATGTATATAATGTGTATATATATATATATACATTTGAATTATTTACAAGACAAAAATTAGATTATATATCTATCACAAAACCATCATTACTAAACAATATATATATATTACCGGTATCAGTTTAGTGTCTGTCGCTACTTAAAATATTTAGCCAGTATGATTATATATATGTATTGTTGTTAGTTAATAGCCAATATCATTAATAATGTAATATTAATAGTGACTATACTAAAATTGTTGTTAGTGACAATATTTAATATCAAAAGTCAATTCTAGTCAGCATCTTCACTATTAGTGATAATAGTCAATATTGGCAGTATGTATTAACTATTATAATATTTAGTTGTCAACTATTAACTATAAGTAAAATAGAAACTACGAAGGGTTAATATATATATATAGTGATTACTATCAACTACTAACTAATTTTAGTATAGTTTAGTGTTCACTCATATTATGATTGGGATTACATCATATTGATTACAATTGAGATAATTTCTTTTTTAATATAGTGAATATCCCTGGGATATTATTAACCAAACACACATATACAAATAGGGTTTTTAGTCACCATACAATGCCATACAATGGGTGCCAATAAGAGAAGCATATCATGGTGACTTTTCATGAGATGTTCATGGGGTTTGACCCATTTGACTGGTGATTTTTCAGATTTCATGGAATTAACGATGATTTACGGCTTATTGTGGATTTGATGGTGATTTAATAGGCTGTCCAATGATTTCCCGTTTTTTACTCCGAGCATTGACTTGCACAGGAAAGGGGTAAAAAGGCTCTAATTAACTTATGTTGTGAATCCCAAAGAGCTGTGTATACTCCGATGATACCCTCTGGTAAACTAACATAGCTATTGAAAATGGCCACAGACATAGTGAGTTTTCCCATTAAAAATGGTGATTTTCAATAGTTATGTAACAGTTTGCCAGAGGGTATCCATTTTTGGTTGGATTTTCATGAATTCTCCATTTCTGTTCATGGTCGCCAACCGTTCCACAACGCCAAAGGACATGCACCGAAGCCCACGTTCCACATGGCGCAGCACGCGCAGCACGCGCGTTGCCGCCATGGCGCCGAGAGAGTTTAGACGAGTCGTTCTGAGAAAACGGCTGCGAAATTGATCAAAGTTGCTCTTCTTAAACTGATTCTATGTTCAGATTATATATAATCTGGTGATTTCAGCCTGAAAAATATGAAAGTCAGTTGGGGTTATTATTCCCAATATATGGAAAAACATGTTCCAAACCACCAACCAGTAGTTAGTAGTATTAGTAGTATTGAGTACAATCATATCATTTACTCAAACTACTAATACTAAATATCTATGTTTATCTTGTTTTGTCGTAAATTATTATCCACTACATTAACAAAAGGACGCAACTAAATCATGAAAAAATGATACCCTCTGCTTATCTAACACAGCCATGGAAAATGGTCCATTTATAGATGGTTTACCTATAAAAAATGGTGATTATCCATGGCTATGTTAAATAACCAGATGATAAATCCCAAAAGAATGAATGTCTGTGCAAAAAAAAAATGTGCCTGCATGGATCAGAATTTCTGACCCATACCGCCCATATTCGCCGTAAATTCAGAGCGAAATACTGCAAAAAACTTGAGGAATTGTAGTGGTTGGCGTTGTCTACATCCATGGTGATAGCAAACAGCAAACACCTAGCCAGATCGGTATCCAGGGCTGTCAGGAAAGCAAAGAAATCCCAGTCCGCTGACGATTTCTCCCTACACTTAGCATGCGAGACAATTCGTCTTAATTGAGATAGTTGGTCTTAAAATGATAAACCAAGATATATCAAGATATATAATTAGTATTAATTAGCCCTAATTAAGATTATTGAAGTGATAAATTCATCCAAGTTGGCCTGAAAACACAAAAAAAAGAGCATCAACTCCTATCATGCCCTTAGCCCAATCAGAAGCTGGACAAGCCTCATTTTCTTTGGGTGATTCATGTATAAATCGTCTAAATGGGTAAACTTACACACATATCATAAATGTAGGTGATCTATATGTTGCCCCTTATATCATACACAGATATTGAATACACCAGTATTATCCGATTTCTGTTGCTGAATGAGATTACCAAATAGTATATACCCAGACTTCACCGTGCCCATCCAGCTCACTCTTTTTGTCCAGGAAGGTGGAAAGGCCCAGTGGCTAGATGGGATCTGATCTGACCATCTGATCATGGCTGGTGGTTGACACCAAGTACGGTTTCGGGTTTCATGACATCCCAGTGACAAATAGGAATGGACCAAAACCTACATATATATATACTATATATATATACCCCTGTCTGTTGCCAGGGGGGGTGGAACCCCTAAAAAAATAGAATTACTCTACTTCGTGTGATCCCCACCATGACATGTCAGGACGTATATTTGGACATATATTTAGTATATTCTGACATCCTATCTGACATATATTCTGGCATATATTCTGGCATATATCCTGACATTCCACCTGGCATTCTATCTGGCAGTCTATCTGGCATTCTATCTGACATATTTTCTGACATTTCATCTGACATATATTCTGGCATTCTACCTGTCATTTATTCTGACATATATTCTGGCATTCTATCTGACATATATTCTGGCATATATTCTGGCATTCTATCTGGCATTATATCTGACATATATTTTGGCATTCTATCTGACATATATTCTGGCATATCTATCTGGCATTATATCTGACATATATTTTGGCATTCTATCTGACATATATTCTGGCATATATGTTGGCATTCTATCTGGCATTATATCTGACATTCTTTCTGGCATTCTATCTGGCATTCTATCTGGCATCCTATCTGACATTCTATCTGGCATTCTATCTGGCATTCTTTCTGGCATTCTTTCTGGCATTCTATCTGGCATTCTATCTGGCATTCTATCTGGCATCCTATCTGACATTCTATCTGGCATTCTATCTGGCAGTCTATCTGACATTCCTACATGAGGTCCGGCAGGGAACACTTGGCGTGGATACTCGCAGTTGAGGTCCGGCAGGGAACACTGGGCGTGGATGGTCGTGGTTGAGGTCCGGCAGGGAACACTGGGCGTGGATGGTCGTGGTTGAGGTCCGGCAGGGAACACTGGGCGTGGTCGTGGTTGAGGTCCGGCAGGGAACACTGGGCGTTGGTCGTGGTTGAGGTCCGGCAGGGAACACTGGGCGTGGATGGTCGTGGTTGAGGTCCGGCAGAGAACACTGTGGATCGCGGGTCGCAGTTGGACGAGGACGACGAGGACGACGAGGACGACAAGGACGACAAGGATGACAAGGAGGACGAGGAGGACGAGGAGGAGAGGAGGAGGAGGAGGACGAGGCAGGAGGAGGCAACTGACATAAAATCTAACAACCCTCACCTGGCAGGTGGGGAATAAAATGAAGGGGCCTAAGGACAAAATGTCAATAAAATGAGAGGGCATAGGGTAAGATAGGAAAACCCAAGCAAAATACAATGGACAGGTACAAAAAGAATATGACGTCAGGCACCCTCCACCTGCCAACTGTTGGACCTCGGGCTCCGGCATTTTCTTTTGGGTTGATCTTGTTTAGTCTTGTTTCCTTGTTTGATTGGTTTTAACCATGTTTAGTCTTGTTTAGTCCTGTACATTGTTTCCTTATTTGATTGGTTGATCATGTTTGGTCTTGTTTAGTCTTGTTTAGCCTTTTCACGTGCAAACAGGAAGGAAAAATCGTGCGGATTTCGATCAATATAATATATAAATAATTGGTTCCACTTCTGACATCTGGATGGTTTCTAGAAAAAATACAAATAAATATAAATAAACTGAAGAAATCTCATTGGCTGCTGTAAGCTGCCCGTGTGTCTTTTGTTGGCCAAGGAAGGCAATAGAAAATGAGGGGGGCCAACCCATTTTCGAAGTTAATGTCCAAGTAATTCCAAATCTCTGGAACATTTCACAAAATGATCAGACCGTTCATGCTATCATGCTATCTCTGTCAGTTAACTTGATGGGTTAGGCACCTCAATAAAAATTTAATGCACCCATAAAATAAAATGCTGGGGTCTGACCCACTTTATTCTCAGTTTATTTATAGGTTTATTTTATTTTAAAAGGGGCTCCTGCCCCCTCATTCTATTTAGGTACGCCGGACGGGGGTTATATACATACATATATATATATATGTCATACAGGGGTTGGTAAATGTCCTAATTCATCACATTACCCATCAAAAATTCAAAAATTGGGACAGAATCTCCAACATCTACTTAAAAGTGATATTCAAGAACTCCAAAACTGGACATTTACCAAACCCTGTCATCTGACGGGGTGTGGATATCAAGTAAAAATCCTCTATAATTGTCTGGTTCAGAGGCATACCCACAGAGACATAATGGATTGCGACAATCTCCAATATATTGGTTAATATAACCCCCTTTCCATCATGAATCAACCGAGGCTTTTGAAACCGTAGACTACATGATCTGCTTAAAAAAAGGGATCTATGGCAATCTATGGTAGATACTTGTTACAGTTTTTGTCAAACCATAGATGTAACAAGGAATGATTTAACAATGATACAAGGTGTACAATCTATGGCAAACTTATCGATCTATGGTTCCTTGTTACACCCCCGAGGCTTCTGGATACTGAATCAATGCCTTTTTCAACTGACAGTGGGGAGCGTTAAAAAAACCAGCCCCCAAGTGGGTTGCAACCCTGGTGGACTGATACTATTGTAGAATCATGGGGATAGATTCATATATATATATAGAGCTACCAAACACAATACCTATGTATATAGTTATATATTATGTAACTATATAATATATGTATCATATAAATAAAGCCATCACACACCAATAGTCACCGGACATAACAGATCATAAACTCTCCACATTTCGCCACTGGTCCTCGTGTTCTACCGTGGAACCCGCGTCCTACACAAGGTCACGTGGCTCCGCGCAGAAGGTTTGCCACCTAGGCGCGGAGAGAAATGGATCTTCAATGTGCTTCTAAAGCACCATGCACGGTTTCCATTTTGAGGTTATACAGATTTCGGGAATATGAACCATTAAAAAAAGTGGATTGAACTCGAACACACTATGGGATTGTAAACTAGAAATATGCTGGTTCCAGGTTCCATATGATAATATTGTGAACCTGCCACATACCAGGTTTTGTTTCATTCATGTCCGCAAACAAGGTGACAATTCAAATTCTACTTCAATTTGTTTTAGCGCAGAGCAACTCTTAATAGCTACAACAGGGAAATCCCGATTCTAATTGGTGGTTTCAACCCCCTGAAAAATATGAAAGTCAGATTGGATCATCATCCCACCTATTGCGGAAAATCCGCCGGCCTGCCAGCGTGTCTGATTGGAAGGTGTTGTTCTTCTTTCTGTTTTTGTTTCTGTTCTTGGTTTGTACTTGTTCCTTTGTTCTCTTGCCGCGCGTTTTTGCTTCGTCTGAATCAAAGTCACCCCCCCCCCCCCCCCCCCCCCCCTTCTACTACTACTACTACTACCACTACTACCACTACTACCACTACTACCACTACTACCACTACTACCACTACTACCACTACTACCACCACCACCACCACTACTACCACTCCTACGCCTACTCCGACTTCGACTCATCAGAAGCTTTTACACACAGAAGCCCGGAAGCTTTTGCACGCAAAAGCTTTTACACACAGACACTTTTACACACAGGCGCTTTTACACACAGAAGCTTTTACACACAGACGCTTTTACACACAGAGGCTTTCCCGGATTCAGTCCAAAAAGCTCTCCCCCAGCAGAGTGAAGGATTTTTGGTGTTTTTTACACACAGAAGCTTTTGCACACAGAAGCTTTTACACACAAAGGTTTTTTCACACAAAAGCTTTTACACGCAAAAGCTTTTACACACAGAAGCTTTTACACACAGAACCTTTTACACACAGAAGCTTTTACACTCAAAAGATTTTACACGCAGAAGCTTTTACACACAGAAGCTTTTACAAACAGATGCTTTGACACACAGAACCTTTTACACACAGAAGCTCTTACACACAAACACTTTTACACACAGAAGCGTTTACACACAGAAGCTTTTACACACGGAAGCTTTTACACACAAAAGCTTTTATACACAGAAGCTTTTACACACAAAAGCTTTTAAACGCAGAAGCTTTTACGCGCAGAAGTTAAAGTGGCTATGGCCGGCGGGCTTGCCGCAGGCAATTAAATAAAAAATGTTCCAAACCACCAGCCAGTCCATATATGTTTTCCCGTGAAACCACCCATTTGGGGATGGTTTCCCTTATTAACCATGATTCCAGTGAGGTCGCGACGTGAGGTCGTTATAAACTAAGCATGGGCCACTCCAGTCTCGCTGCTGAAATCCTGATGATTTTTTGCTGGCTTCTTGTCTGGTGAAAAATCCGTACTTTTTTTTTGTTATACCACAATGTGTATGGTGGTTTCTCCACTACTATACTATTGTCTATACGGTTATACTCGATAAATCTAGATAAATTGGCTATATATGGTTGATGAGTAAGATATATAGGTAGATATACTGCTGGTTGGTGGTATACCTACCCCTCTGGAAAATATGAGTTCGTCAGTTGGGATGATGACATTCCCAACTGAATGGAAAAATAAAAGCCATGTTCCAAACCACCAACCAGTTATACTATTGTTGTCGTTTAGTTGACTTCTGGCTTCAATGCTTTTCTAAACCCGTTTTCTTGCTTCAGCCGTCAGCAGATTCGGCCACAACCCTTGGGAAAATCCAACCAAAAACTCATGGACTCGGCAAATCCAAGCAGAAATCCAGCCCGATTTTGGACCAGCGATGTTTGTTGCACCGTGTGCACCCTCCAATTTTCACAGCCAACCTTAGATATCCATATAAAACAACATCTTAGTAGATAACCTAGTATATATATATATATTCACGTAGCACCAAACATTTTAGGTACAAAAAAATGGTCTACCCTCTGGTAAACTAACATAGCTATTGAAAATGGCCATAGACATAGTGAGTTTTCCCATAACAAAATGGTGATTTTCCATTGCTATGTAACAGTTTACCAGAGGGTAAGTTGGTTTATAAACCCCATTAACTATAGTTATAAGTACCATAAACCATAGTTATTGGAGTTATGTGCACCAACTTATAACTGGTTATAGCCCCACGTAACGCAGGAGTTGACGCCTGAAGAAAATCCAGATCCATTTTTTTTGGGTGAAAATCTCCAGCGGCACGGCGTCGCCGGGGCGCATCAAATCCTGTCGCTTGGATCCCCAGAGGGGACGATGTGACACCTCGAAGTAGTCCTGGTGGACCGTACCTGCGATGCCATTGGAAGTCGGCTTTTGCTGATAGTTTAATGATGGTTTAATGGGAATGTTTAATATGGAATGATGGAACTAATTTGATGGTTTAATTCCAGTAATCTAAATATTGCAGGACTATATTGGATATAGTTTAATGGGATTTAGCATTTATATTGGTAATGGATAATCCATTAGTACCATTTAGTATTAGGTCGGGTTTTGCTAAACCTTCACTAATCTAAATATTGCAGGAATGATAGTTTAATGGGATGATAATTGGATTTAATGATGGTTTAATGGGATTATACTGGGATTAATATTCAGTAATGTCAACGAATAGTCAATATCTGATACTTTCTTATGGTACCCTCCCAATTAAACAGCCGTTTGGGGTTTATTAATCTAAGAAATATTGCAGGAATGATTGTTTAATGGAAATATCAAATCATAAATGTACATAATTGTATATATATATACATATTATATATATATATCAAACAGTCATTATCTGATACTTCTTTATGGCACCTCCCAATTAAACAGCCGTTTGGGGGTTTATTCATCCGGGGTTGACATTAATCCTAAGAAATATTGCAGGAATGATGGTCTAATGGAAATACCACATGTATAAATCTCAGAATATTGCAAAATTAGTTACCCAACATTCAGTAATATTCAGAATATTCTAATTGCAGGAATGATGGATTTATAATGAGATTTTAATGAGATCATTAATTTGGAATGATGGAATCATTCTTTAATCTCAAAAAATGTGGAGATCCCATTATTATCGCATTACAATCTCATTACGTCATTGGTCCAGAAATATTGCAGGAATGATTGTTTAATGGAATTATAATGAGATTAAAATGGGATTATAATGGGGTGATAATCAGCAATAGCACGGCTGATGCACGGCTGATAATTAGAAATCGGTAATTCAACATTGATAAATGATAACATCACACTAGTAATATATAATAACTTTACTGGGTACTGATTTTAATGGATTACGTTTTGATTGAAATGATCCACCAAATATTGCACAGATGTTGGTTTAATGGGATTGTAATGGGGTCATATAGAATAATGGAACAAACTATTGGACTTATGTGCAGCAATCCACAAATATCGGAAGCATGGTGGTTTTATTGTTTTTTTTTGATTATCCGTTAATGGGGCCAACAGAAAGTGAGAAACCAACAGACTATTGGACTTATGTTCAGTAATTCCTAATAAGCCAGGTAGTATAACGCCGATTTCAAAACCAATCAACAAGGATATGTTTAATGGACTTCAATGGTTCATATTGGGAATCCCTGACATTAGAATATGACTGAGTATGAGTCCAGCCATTAAAAACCCGAAATCATTGAGAATTGAGAGTATCTGATGCTTCTTGAGACACAGCTGCTGTCATCGCTAATGTTGATCGTCCTAGTGATCGAATCTTCGTCAAAGAAATCTGGTTGGTGGTTGGGCCCTACCCCTCTGAAGAATATGACTTCGTCAGTTGGGATGATGACATTCCCATATATTATGGAAAAAATCAAACGCTCCAAACCACCAACCAGTTTTGCTGTTGATTGCTGTCAAATACAATCTTAATCTACATGAAACTTTGATTTTGATCGTGATCGGCTGCTTTTTCCAAGGCTCACCACCCCCATTGCCAAATGGTGCACCCCAGCAGAGTTCACACAGTGAAGTCCAAGACGCTAAGTATCTGATGAGAGAGCAGTTCACGTTCAGTTTCTTCGCAATTCCTGTGACAAACCACCTGTCCGAAGCGCCGGTTGATTCGCTGGATGAACATGGGTGACCGGGTTTCAAAACATTTGAGGCAACTTGGGTCATCCACAGTATGGGAAAAAAGAAACCACCAACCAGTGCTAAATGTCCACAGTATCAGCACCGCCTAATGGACATCCTGACATGTGAAAAAAGTGCCATCCCCGTGCTTGCTCCACAAAGCTGTTCCCCAAAGCCGCTCCCCAAAGTTAATTAATGACAGCTGCTCCGAACAGCTGCCCCCCCAAGCTGCTAAAGTTGTTTCCGAAAGCTGTTTCCCAGAGATTGCTTTCTAAAGCTACTCCCCAAAGCTGTCGTTCTTCAAGGCAACTGTTCGTCAAGACTGCAAAGCCGCAAAGTTGCTCCCCAAAGCTGCTCTTCAAAGTTGCTACCGAAAGCCGCGTCCCAAAGAAGCTCCCCAAAACTCCAAAGTTGTTCCCCGAAGCTGTCTGAAAGCTGCTCCCGAAAGCTGCTACTGAAAGCTGCTCCCCGAAGTTGTTCGTAAAGCTGCCTGCGAAAGCTGCTCCCCAAAGACCGAAGCTGCTTCTCAAAGCGGTTCCCCAAAGCACCTCTGCAAAGCGGTTGCGCCAAAGCGGCTATGCTTCAAACCTGTTCCCCAAAGCGGCTCCCCATGGCTATTCGCCAAGGCGGTTTCTGAAAGGTACTCCTCAAAGTTGCTGCCGAAAGCTGCTCCCCAAAGCTGCGGTTCTTCAAAGCTGCCGTGCAAAGCTGCTCCTGCTCCCCAAAGCTGCTCCCCAAAGCTACGCCACAAAGCTGTTCCCCAAAGCAAAGTTGTTATCGAAAGCTGCTCCGGACATCTGCCCCCCCAAGCTGCCAAAGCTGCCCCGGAAAGTTGTTTCCGAAAGCTGCTTCCCAAAGTTGCTTTCTAAAGCTACTCCCCAAAGCTGTCGTTTTTCAAAGCAACTGTTCATCAATGCTGTTGCAAAGCCGCAAAGTTGCTCCCCACAGTTGCTCCCCAAAGCTGCTCTTCAAAGTTGCTACCGAAAGCCGCGTCCCAAAGAAGCTCCCCAAAACTCCAAAGTTGTTCCCCGAAGCTGTCTGAAAGCTGCTCCCGAAAGCTGCTACTGAAAGCTGCTCCCCGAAGTTGTTCGTAAAGCTGTGAAAGCTGCTCCCCAAAGACCGAAGCTGCCTCTCCAAGCCTTTCCCCAAAGCACCTCTGCAAAGCGGTTGCGCCAAAGCGGCTATGCTTCAAACCTGTTCCCCAAAGCGGCTCCCCATGGCTATTCGCCAAAGCGGTTCCTGAAAGGTACTCCTCAAAGTTGCTGCCGAAAGCTGCTCCCCAAAGTTGCGTTCTAAAGCTACTCCCCAAAGCTGCTCCCCAAAGCTGCGGTTCTTCAAAGCTGCCGTGCAAAGCTGCTCCTGCTCCCCAAAGCTGCTCCCCAAAGCTACGCCACAAAGCTGTTCCCCAAAGCAAAGTTGTTATCGAAAGCTGCTCCGGACATCTGCCCCCCCAAGCTGCCAAAGCTGCCCCGGAAAGTTGTTTCCGAAAGCTGCTTCCCAAAGTTGCTTTCTAAAGCTACTCCCCAAAGCTGTCGTTTTTCAAAGCAACTGTTCATCAATGCTGTTGCAAAGCCGCAAAGTTGCTCCCCACAGTTGCTCCCCAAAGCTGCTCTTCAAAGTTGCTACCGAAAGCCGCGTCCCAAAGAAGCTCCCCAAAACTCCAAAGTTGTTCCCCGAAGCTGCCTCAAAGCTGGTCCGGAGAGCGGTTTGGTGCACGAAGAAACGCAGAAAAGAGCACGATTTGTCGCACGACGAAACGCAGAAAAGAGCACGACTCGGCGCAGGACGAAACGCAGAAAACAGATGAAAACAGCACGATATTTGGTGCACGACGAAACTTAAGAAAGAGGACGATTTGGTGTGCCTTACATGGCCACTGCTTCACCAAACCGGAACTCCACTATGATGATGTGTGTGATGAATGATGTAGCTTCAATGTAGCTTGATGGCTGTGATCAACAGTTCTGTTGGTAGTGACTCTTGAACAATTATATTATATATATATATATGTAACTTATTTCTTCTGGTTCTGGAAGATTTTGGAAGATGTGCGATGTGAACCACAAGAAAATGCTACAGTTGAGTTGGATGGACGGGCTTGGTGCAGGAAAAGAACCTGATTTCATGGTGCATCATTTGGGGGTCGGGTTTAAAAAGAAACCCTTTTAAAACAAAATATAAGGCGATTTATCACCCCAAAAACTCAAATCATCAATTCGACATCCAAAAGCACTAAAAACCATCCAAGTCCAACCCCACAAGAAACAACAATCTGCAAAAAAAATAGAATCACTTTACAATCACTTAAATCACTATAAGAAACAACGACAATAATCGCTAAACAATAGCAAGAAACACCCTCGGGGTCCTGCAGGTGAAATCTGGAAGAAAGAAACATAATACAATAATCATCTATAATCCAAGCCAAGTAAATCAAATGATGTTGGATTTTAGACGATTAATGATGATTATGATTTTCTATCTCTTAGAACTAGCATTTCTCAATGGAAATTTCAGGATACACAAAATTGGAGGTACCTACCATTTATAAGGCTTATATAAGGCCTATGTAAGCCAACAAAATATGGCCTTATATGGTACAGTACCTCCATTTTAGGATCCTGAAATTCCCATTGACTTTAGCTAATTTAGTTCTAAGATGTTCTAAGTACATCAATGGCATCGGCGCACCGTGCTCCAAGCAATGCGGCGTGCCAAATGTGCCAGCTCCGGACGTTCGCCCGACAAGAGCCAGGCCAGTAGGACCTGCCCCGGTCCCCCCATGACTACGGTGATTTCATGGCGCCATAGAATCCATTTTATAGTGATTTAATGGGATTTATAGTGATTTATATAATGGGATTTTATAGTGATTTAATGGGATTTTATAGTGATTCAATGGGATATTAATGGGATATACCCTCTGGTTGTTTGTTACATAGCCATGGTTAAGCAATGGCCCATGGAAATAGATGGTTTACCGAACTTAAAAATGGTGGATCTTTCCATGGTTATGTTACTTATGTTAAATAACCAGATGGTAAAATCCATAGTTACGATTAAAATACATAGTGCAATACATGATTGGTTAAACCATCTTCATTGCCATAGTGAAATATCATGAAATATCTTGATGAATTCGAATAATGCACTTTAAATAAGACTATATTGTTTTATCATTGGGTTATAGTTATCCCTGACTAACCATGATTCCAGGTCGCAGTGAGGTCGTTATGATTTACCCAGAAATATGATGAGCTGGGCCAATCTGTGTGACTCATCACAAACGTAGTTGCTGCTGTGATCCACACCCTCCTTTTATAAAGCTTAAGGGGATTTACTGGGATTTATGTTGGCTAAGTTGGTAAAGCAACGATAAACACACGATATTTTGATGGTTGGAATCCCACCCATCAAAATGGTAAATTTGGGGATCCTATTGCTTTACTAACTGATGCGGGGAAATATCATGATTACTGAAAAGGGGCTTAAGGGGATTTAATTGGATTGTTAGGAAAGTTGGTCAACACAACTCAAAAAAATCCTATAGGATTTAGAGCAATGGAATAACTATATGGTTTTTTATACACATCCTTAATGAAACTACCCTCTGGTAAATTAACATAGCTATTGAAAATGACCAGTTATAGTGGATTTACCCATTAATAGCATGGTGATTTTCCATAGTTACGTTAGTTTACCAGAGGGTAACCCAACTTAGCGACTGTAAACGGGAGCCGTTTGTAAATTGAACGCTAGAACCCTGGGATTGAAACATTTTAAACCACTCGAAATTGGGTAAACTCGTCCTGGAACTGCAGGTGGTTTCCATCGTAAACCCATTGCTCCATGTATAGTTTTTTTATGTAGCTAGAAAACTGGGCCATTGATGGGGTAAATGGTGGTAAATATAGGTAAATTAAATCAGCACCATGGGTTGCATATGGGTTATTTTATTCTGATTGCCGAGAAGAGATGAGATTTAACCATCAAAACAATTGGATCAAACGACACGACGAATGGTTTTGCTGAGGATTTTCTGGTGAAACTTAGGCGATTTGACCAACAATGTGTCTGGAAGTACAAGGGCAAGATGGTGATGACAACCAACCATCAAAAAAAGATCAGACATGTGGATTTACTGGTGCAAAGATATCAATGGATTGGTTTAAGGGAAAATTTACAGGAAACCATAGATTTTCCCATTAAATATTGGGGCTTTCCTGCAAATTTTCCCTTAATCCAATCCATTGAACATAGTATTAAAACACATGGAAACTTGGGATGAAACCAGCACACTTCAAAAAACAACCATGGGCCCACCGTATGGAAACCACAGATTGGGGATTTCACCTTGAAGCAGAAAATGATGGAGGGATCAAGCAACGAACAACTCGCAACCACTGGGAACTCATGTAGAACTATGGAAAACTATGGCAAATCTGGGATACTGCTACTGCATTTTAGCAACAAAATGTAAAGGAGTCGGATTCACATTGATATTCCCATGTCTAACACAATACTGCCAACAATGGAAAACTTGGCAAATCCTGGATGCTATACAAACATATACTAACCGCATATTTGACAGCTGCAGTCGGTGAGTATTTTCCCGTCAGCAAGCCATGCAAGGTTGACCCTGAGGATAATATTCACAAGAAATAGCTATGGTTATGGGTCAAAACCCTACCCGGATGCTATCCTAAAATAGCTGGTTAATGGATGGTTAATTGTCGCAGTCACATGGTCATTTTATTATAAATATCACAATAGGTTTTGACCCATCCCCACACAATCATACGAGTACATACAGGATGGTGCCCCCCAGTTATAAGTTGGTTTATAAACCCCATTAACTATAGTTATATATATATATATCTACCATAAACCATAGTTAAGCCACTTATAAGGCATGGGCGTTCACATACCAGCACATGAAAATGAACCTGCTGAATAGGGCGACGAACTTGTCCTTCCGGGATAGTGGAGGCTCAAAGGGAAATCCAGCAATGGAACTCCTGCACATACTGGGATGTGAAGTCTGGAACTGGAACCTGTCGAAAAGCCCTGATCTCCTCGGTGGTTTTTCGGATGTATCTTCGGACGAAGGCGTCAAATTGAAAATGTTGGGATATTCCACAGCATAGACTCATAGACTTTGCGCCAAGCCCTTGGCACCTTTTTTGTATCACCAGCAGACACCAGCAGTGACAGGCCTGTAGGATATATCCAGAATCTCGATGGGTATCTTGTCAATGGCCATGCTGGCCAGGAACCGATGTATTGGAGGTACCGATTCCATATATAAGGCCTATGTAAGGGAATATACCCCCAAAATATGGCCAAACATATGGTATAGTACCTCATTTTAGGATTCTGGAATTCCCATTGATCTTCTAACTGGATGTTTGTGCCCCAGTCTGCAGCCCTCATTGAAAAATCCTCAAGGTGGAGACTGAACGGTGGCAAGGTGACTCAACGAACACTTGGCATATCGCCCATAGTTCATATGGATAAACATAGCCTAAAAACATCTAAAAACAATACACAGTAGTGAAGCACAATTATTTTTAGCACATGTGACATGTCATGTGAAGATCGTGATTAGCCTTAACACTCATTATGTGGTCTATGACCGCGAAGAAACAAATCCCGCCTGCTCATAGAGAAGGCCTAATCGCTCAACATCCTGGCCGTCGGCGGATGTGAACGTGCACCTTTCACGTGTGTTCACTCCCAATTCGTGCTGGTCAAACCACACTTTTGGGTTGCTTGAATCACCAAAAATCACGATGTGTGTGGGTAAAATCACCACTTTTCTGGCTTCAATGCTCCTTTCAGATACTTTCAGCTGGCTAAATCAACATTTTTACTGGTGAACCACGTTTTTTCAAAGAAACATAGCTTTCACCGCATGGCGCATCGCGGTTGCGCCAGGCGCCTGGTGTGCCAACAGAAGCTCCAAGGCTTCCTGGTCATTGGTTTTTCGTGGGATATACACAGGATGGGGCCGCCAAGATAGCGTTTAGGTGCCTGATAAGTGGCTGAAATCTGTGGTTTATGGTAGATATTAAACTTATAACTGGGCACCATCCTGTAGCCTCTGGTAAATTAACAGTTCGACCCTGAAAATAACCCATTTGAGCACTCGGAAACTCTTCTTCCAATCCCCATGAACGGCAGGGTCTATGTGAATTTACGAGAGGGTAAATGAGAGATTTTTGTGGGAACATCACCATAGGGACTCAACTGGAGGGATAAGATGGAGCCAGGAAATTTGGGATGCCGATCGATATAGATTACAGTATCTCCCGGGTTTTTATGACCATCAAATCATGATCATCATATGTTTTGATTGTTACTGGGATTCAGTGGGATATATATATATATATAACATATATATATATATATGTACATATAATGGGAATATTTTAATGGGACTATGATCATCATTGTGGGAAGTCCATATGACTCATATGACTGGGGAAATAAACATTCATTAAATAGCAATTTTGGGATTGTACTGGTGGTTCAGCCAGCATAAAGGCCACAGTAAAACTTCTGTGAAAATGAATCTGGATGATTTATATCACCAGATTTATATCAGTTTATATCCCCAAGCATTGGGGATGGATTCCCTGTGTCATAAGCAATCATCTATATAATTGCAGTCGCTTCAGTTGCTTTTGGGCGTGATTTTTTTAATGAACAAAGTAGATGAGAGAACGCCCAGCCTCCAACAAATATCCGGACTGCAGAGGTTGAACCTCAGGCAATTTGGGCTATGCTGGTTCCAAGTTCCTCAAATAATTTTGGAAAAATTAGGGAAAACCCCTGAATTATTGGAACATGATGGGAAATAAAGTGGAAAATTATGGGAAAGACCGCAAATCCACTGTCATATCATCATTTATCCCCCAAAGAAAGGTTGCTTGGTTGATTCAAAGTCGGAAAGTCGGACAAATTGGCTCCAACAGGCAGCAACAACATCCAATCATGGAATAGCAGGGACCCTATTCACGCATGCACAACTTTTCAGACCACGAATTTCAAGAATGGGCTGTAATATCAACAAGAACGAAGTCAGCTATTGGACTTAGTGCCGTGCTGGTCCCCGGAATATCTCTTTTGCCGTTTTCACTTCAGGTTGAATATGGGTTAAATAATTAAATAACTGTGAGCACCCAAAAAAAGCACTAAATCTACAAAGTAGTCCCCCCTAGTTTTAAATTGGTGTATGAATCCGTATCTAGATTAATATATTTATAAAACTAATTATACTGAATAAAATGTTTTGAGACTACAAGCCATAATCCCTGGTTAACCCCGTTATAAACCAACTTGGCTTGCAGGGGCACCATCTTGTAGGTGTATGGTCTGCAGGATAAGATTGGCAGATCCGAAGTGATTCAACCCGCACTTCAGGGAACAATTCACATGTCTAGTCTTACATCCCTGCAACAGAAAATATGTTCAGCTGAGCATGATATGTTCCCATAAAAATTGCAAAAAGACCAAGTTTTATTCAACTATCCAGTTCATAGAAAATCCTGCTCTTGATGGTGAAAAAAATGAACCTGCCTATCTCATGGCTTTAAAAAAAAGTTTTTCATGTTTAAGTCCTTGTGTTCAATGATTAAATATGCTTTAACAAAAACGGTAGTGAATCACACCTCAAAGGTTGCTGAAATGTCACCTTTCTGTCAGTTGATGCTTAAATCGCTTTCCCCTCGCCTCATGGAACCCATAGAGACGGAAAATCAAGCCTGCGGAGACTCCCAAGAAACCCAAGTGGCTGGTGAGTACAGAGGTTTCCTGAGGATGGGTAGGTACCCCCAGTTCTCATCCATTTTACTGGGATTTGCCCAAAGAAAAACCATCTATTTTAGGGATCCACCATGACTATGGAAAGCCTCATACAAGTATCATACTGTGGATGGTTGCGAAATCCTGCACCAGTTGGTGGTGTATCCCATTATGATCCGATTATTTACACTGTTTTATAGTTACCAATAGTTGCCAACTGGTGCAGAATTTCTTCTGTCCACAGTATTGGAATTATATTGAAAAGATGTGGAGACTAGAGTTGATATAGTGGCTATACAATGGGACTAAAATGGAATATCATCACTGGTTGGTGGTTTTAACCATCTTGAAAAATGTTTGTCAATGTAATGGGAAGGATTATCCCATATATTATGGAAAATAACACATGTTACAAACCAGCAACCAGATCATATTGGGAATATCATTGTATTGAAGGAAACAAAATGGTTAGCAAACCACCAAAGTAAACCAGCAATTAGTCCCAGTACGAAGATTTGTATCATAAATTTAAACTCCGGTGTCATCAAGCATGGCTAGCTGGAAAATCCCTCAACGAGCCATGAAGGTTTCCAAGGGAAAATCATTGGAATTAATGCCATAAACCATCCCGCAAAAACACAATTTGAGGACTACAAATCATCTCTACTAATAGGCTAATAGGGGTATACCGGGTACCACTATACCCAATAATCAACCCCAAAGGGGAATGCTTTATTCTTGGCTTTACCATATTAAATGCCTGATGATTTCTCGCATTTCAATATTGTCAATGCAATTTTCTCCAGAATGGACCAATGTCCAGTATCACATGGCCGACGCAATAGCATGATGGCAAGATTTAAATACTGGACATCAAAAAATTATGGGTTTCAAAAACACTAAATACTGGTTACATTGTGACCTTCAGCATGGCTGAGCTGGGAAGTAGAGGCTTCCATATATATGTTTTCGTGGGAAAATCATGGTGAGGCCCTAAAATGTGATGTGATGTTTCTTGGTGCAAAGGAACCCCATCAACCTTATATCCCCCATTAACCCAAAGGTCAACCAAGTTATGTGAGTCAACTTAACTTTCATAAATAAACTATAAAAACCACATCCCCATTTGGTTTAAATCACCATTAATCATCATTAATCATGGATTAATCACCATTAATCACCATTTTCCATCCAGGTTTTCCTATGGTTTCCCACTGCATGCGCCAGTCTTTCGGTTTTCGTCCAGCCTGCAGCTTCCCAGAGCCATACGCGTTTCGCACGCAGCGCGTGGCGAAGGCGGCGTTGAAAGGCGTGATGCTGGCAGTGAAGCAAGCGCTGAGTGGGAAAGCTGGGGTTTATAAAGTTTAACTTACTTGTTCTTAGTAGGGGATGGGGGAATAGGATGGTTACAAGCAGGAAACAATTGGAACATGGAGGTTTCATCATGAAACAATTGGGGTGTACTATGGTTTAATGTTTTATCATCAAAAAATGAAGCTTGAAAAAACAACACAGGGAAATTTAACGAGGACAAATTGGAACATGGAGGTTTGAACAATAAAAAATGTACAATTGAGGACAGGGGTGTAAAGTTGATGCAAATGATCATTCTCATCAATCAACTAATCTTAGATCTGGTAATGGATGATGAGTTAGTTGAAGGAACTGTTGGTTCACAGTGGATGTCCTTTAATCAGTCTGGTAATTTAACAGTTTGCGAACTGGAAAATGGCCATTGAAATAGTGGATTTTCCCATTAAAAATGGTGATTTTCCATAGTTATGTAACAGTTTACCAGAGGGTAATCAGTCTGTCAAATCAGTCAACGTTTGAATATGCACAATCCACGCGTGGCGCCGCCATCGAAACAACCGAAACCCGAAACTCCGTTGACTCGACACAAAACATTTTTTGGTCAAACGAATATGCCACCTTTCATACGGTGGATGGATCCACAGTAGCACCAATGAATCCTTCACTTAGTGACACCATTTTGCATGGCTAATCTTATAATAAGGGTGTCTGAAGATGAAAATAGGGCACAAAAGGGCACCCTCCATTCAGTGCTTCATCATCTTAAATGGCCATATTAGGGGTACACACCCATTTTCAGACCCCAAAACTTGGTGCTGGCGCCAATAGTGATCCTGAGGAATCTGACCATTGTTCAAAATGGCAAGAGCTCAAAACCTACATTTCGGAGCATTTTTATGTGGAAGTCAAGATTTCAAGGCTCTAATTTTGTTGGTATTTGCAGGAAGGCCAGCATTTGCATTTGTTCATTATGGGCCAGTGGAAATGCGGGTTTCAGGAGTCTTAAAAAAAAAACAAGAACCCAACTTTCTCACAAGAGATACCTTATTTGACATGAAGTTAACGTTAGGTAGCGCAGCATCATCTATGTTACATGAACTGAACTTCAAGTAGCATAATATTTTATTTGGTATGATATTAACCTTAAGTAGCGTAACATCATCTATGTTACATGAAGTTAACTTCAAGCAACAAAACAACTTATTTGAAATTAAGTTAACTCAAGTAGCGTAGCAACATCTATGTTACATGAAGTGTGCTTGACTTAGCCGAGCATTACGTATGTGACAAGAGGTTAGTTTGAAGTAGCATCACATCTTATTCGAACTGAAGTTCACGTAAAGTAGCGTAGCATCTTGTATGTATGCAAGCGCTATTGAACGTTATTGCACCCCCCCCACCCCCCCACCCACCCGAATCCCCCACCATCAAAAGGAAGTAGAGTAACATTACGTATTTACTGCAGGTCAACGTCAATGCCAGTGCAATCCAATGGGAGTGCAAGACATGTATGCAAGTGCAAGATTTGTATAAGCAGCGTACAATGATGTATGCTAGTTCAACTTAAACTGACATAGCAAAGCATCATCTATGTTAGGAGAAGTCAACATTAAATACCGTAGCATAGATTACAATAGATGAAGTCACCTTTCAGTAGCGCGGCATCACCTGTACCTTACAAGCAACGTCAAGTAACATTGCCACATTGCATCTTCCATACCTTCCATAAATGCATAAATGCTATTAAACGTGTGTTTGCAACCCCCAGACACTACCCTCTGATAATTTGTTCCATAGCTATTGAACATGGCCCAGTCGAAATCCTTGATGACTACCCATTTTCATAGCATAGTGACGTCACATCTCCGGCGCACTATGTGAGTGACAGATATCTACCACCAAGATAACCGTCACGTTGAACAAAGGTGACAAGTAGTGAGGTGCATCCCATATATTAATTATTAGTGGATTTACCCATTAAAAATGGTGATTTTCAATAACTATGGTATAACTATGGTATAATAATCTGGTTGGTGGTGCAATAATAATGTAATTTGTACCTGTTCAACAAGTTTTGAGCAGCTAAAAAAATGATTGATCTCTTTCCACCGACAATAAGCATCCCTTTAGAATCTCTGGTTTAATATTGAATTTCCACATTATCCATGCTGTTGAAATTTGGAATATTTGTTGTCGTGACTGACACCCACATATCAGCATGAAGGAAAGCAACACAACTTCTCTACAAAGAATCATGAAGATGGCTTCAACATCACCTCATTTCAACATAATTGTTCAGAGTTACCCTCTGGTTATTTAACATAGCCATGGAAAATCACCTTTTTTATAGGTAAACCATCTATAAATGGACCATTTTCCATGGCTATGTTAAATAACCAGAGGGTATATAATTCACAACTGGATGGATTGCAACCATACACTAAAATGCGAAAAAAAAAAGCCTTTTTGGGATTGCGAGTTACGAGTTAGCAGGTTACCATTTCCCCCACCAAAGCACGAAAATCAATATCACATATTTAAGATTCATATTATATGATTCAATGAAACTTTAAATTAAACAACCCATAAACAACCTTTCAATCAAAAATATAAGTTACATGACATTGAATATCCCTTGTCATCCAAAACTTTAAGTTAAGATCATCCTACATCAGGTGGGTTGTAGCCCAAAAAACTCAGGCCTCTCAGTGAAATTGGTGTTGGTTTATAAACCCAACGAGCTATAAACAACTGTGATAAAAATAAACAAATAAACCAACATAGATACTATAGGTTTAACAACTATAGATAACTGATGATAACTTTGTGTTGTAAGTCTAGTTGTGAGACAACGTATTATACCTATCGACTGGGGGTCCCACATTGTACAACTCTATGCAAATTACGACAGAACAAATCGAAACTTTTGGGTGACCTGCCCATGCTCAGTCGATCAACCCATTTGATGTGGTCAACCCAACAATAAATCTCCGATTGGGGCCATTTACCAGCAACTTCTGGAAACAGTGGGAACCATCCCATCCCATTCATGTTTTTTCGTAAATGGCTGGTACAAAGCATCCAAAATCGCAGGTTGATGGCATTTTAAGCTTCCCACATTATGGCTTTTGAGTTTCCCCCACGGGGTTGTCGGAACATAGTGTACCCCTATATCCAATGGTCCAATGCTTTATCATCATTTTTCTAATGAAATGGCTATAATTGGGGGTATGCACGGGTAAAACAATCATAAACCATCCCCAGTCATCACCATGGGTTATTCTTGGTTTACCCACATAAAACCCTATTTTCATGTTATGTTAAATAACATCTATAAATAGAAGGTTTCCACCATCATTCATCATCAACCATAGATGGTTATTATAACTATATATGGTTAATGGGATTATAGTTATGGTCAGACACACGGCCCCATTACGATTCGTACTCAAAAATCCACGGCCCCATGGCCCCTCGAGGACCTCCATGAGACTCATGGCCACCCGTCGCATGACACGGGGCTCTGCCTGCTGGTCAGTGCAAGGGGGCAGAAAAAACGATAGCTAAGTTGGTGAACATAACTCCAGTAACTAGGGTTTATGGATGTTTATGGCAATTCTGGTTATACTTAGTTATTACTATTACTATCATATAACTATTACAATACTATTACTATTTTACATATGTTTAAGGGTTGACTTTAGAAGGGTTAATGACAATTGGGATTAGGAGTCATTACTATTTGCAAATGGTACTGATAATTTTGTAGGAATACTACTAGGAGTAATTACTATTACTATTAGGAGTGCCAATTTCTCCTACTATTTTGGAATACTACTTACTATTTTTGCCTGCTGAGACTGACCTTAGCACTCCAAAACATTCGCAGTTGACCTTTGATATCCCAACTGCTGGGAGATATCATCTTTCAATACCTTTCATATGATACCCGGCTGGGTAAACAGACCAAAACATCTTGAAAAGCCATGGCTGTTCCCCGGAACCCGAAAGATCGAAAAAACTCCGCAACTCGGCCTCGAACTCCATCTCATGGAACTGCCATCGTTCCATGACCAGCAGCAGCTCTTGCGAATCATGTGCCCCATCCTGCGAAGCGAAAATGCCGTGGCAGATGGTGTGGAAGCTCCGTGCGAGTGGATGGTGGTTTCGTACCAATCATTGGAAGTCGTGCCCTTTCGCACAGTTACATATATCCCATATGCTCCATGTATGGAATATTTACTAACATTTACCCCATAAATGACCCAGTCACGTAGGTAAATATACCATACATGGAGCATATGGGATATATATATATATATCTATATATGCATCCTTGGAACCTTGAGATCTTTACCTACCCAAGACATTATTTTCTCCAAACAATGGAAGCCCAGGGGGATCCCCAACGCAACCGCAGCTACTGGTGCATCCTGTTGTTATTCTATCGGCTCGGAACAAAAGCATACCCAAGCTATACATGAAATATATAGAAATATCTACTTGAATCCAATATATCTTAGTTATATGACATGTGTTGTAAACCAGAATAAACATGTCCCTCCGGGACGTTCGCCCAAAGTTTCATTGGGGGGTTAGTTGCGTTGTGGTTTGTTTAGCAGTATTTTAGGATTGTTTTAGGATTTACTTAGGGTTGGTTTGGAACTTCTTTAGGATTTGTTTAGGGTTTACTGTGTACTTAGGGTTGTTTTAGCTAATTGTCGTGCTATTTACGGTTGTTTTAAGGCTTATTCAAGGTTGTTTTAGGGTCTCTTTAGGTTCTTTATGATTGATTTGGGGTTGATTTGAGGTTTGTTTAGGGTTAGGATATCTTGGTATTCTTTCAAAGTCCTGCGGTTTGTTGAGGTTTTAGTTAACAGCTCGAAACACTGCAAATTACGGAGGACATCTTGAAGACATGCTTCAAAATGTGATTTGGCACCATCTTGCATAAGCGCAAACATGCCATGAGATAAAGGTAATCTCAATATTTTGTATCAGTTTGCTTAAAAATCAGGGGAACAAAAAAACCGCAGCAGTCCCCCATGGAATTCTGTGGGCAAACCGGGCAAACCGGGCAAACGTCAGCCTAGAGGAACATGGGGGTCGAAACGTCACTGGGATTTTTGCAGATTCGGTCCCACTTGAGTTGGATTATCCAGTTGCCAAGGTGGTAATCAAACCTGGCAATGGACAATTTCCCATGGAACAGTCATTTTCCCAGCTACAAACCTCCATTTTTGTTGGGGATTTCCCATTGGAACGTTTGATTCCCGTTGAGTACTAGAAATCCGACTGTTTCTTGCTATAGAATTCACCTTTCTTGACCTTTCATGTTGTTCATTCATATGCTTGGTTTCTGAAAACCGAACTAGTTCACACAACCCCCCCCATTCTACAATGGGGGATGCAAGAGAAACGGCCTCTCAAAATTGGGGAAAATGATGATCAATTGACTAACCAGTGCATTTAAAGAATTAGGCCTAATTAGGGCTACACAAGTACCTTGCTTTTAGTCAAACCCGTATTCTACTTCTACCCTCTGGTAAACTAACATAACTATGAAAAATCACCATGCTATTAATGGGTGAATCAACTATTTCTATGGCCATTATCAATAGCTAACCGTTCAATTACCAGAGGGTAAATCCCATTAAAATCACCATTTTTGTTGGTTAAATCCCATTAAACCACCATTTTCCTGTCAAGTAACCGTTCAATTACCAGAGGGTACTTGCTGAGTCACCAGTTCTTCCCGTATTCTTCCCGTGCGCCGCTTCAGGTTGCCTCGTAGATGACTGCAACCAGTGATTCGATAAAATCTAAAAGTTCCTGGCGAATCGGCGGTGTCAACTGATGTCAACTGGTTTCCCACCTATATACTATAATACCATCACTATATATATATACAGATTATATATATATATATGTAAATTATGTATGTATATATATATACATAATATGGGGATAAATATGGGGTGATTATACGTGTGTCTGAAAATAGGATTTTAACATGGATAAACCACAGCAAGTTCTTCACCATGGATCAACCTGTGGATTTCCACCCTGGATGAGGGGAGGAAGGCCCAGGAAATTCACCGCCCAAAGATGGGGATGTAAAAATACTTTCCTTTTTGTTGGGGAACACCAAAGGGGATAAAAGCAAGAAAAAATGGATAGTATTTCGAGGTTAAACACAATAGGGGATACAGTAATAGATTTTTCGAGGTTTAACCAACAAAAAAAACAAGAAATATTGTAAACTGTAAACCAACGGTCTGGCTATGGGCCTGACAAAGTCGCAAGCGGTGTATGGGGCTACAAACAATTATTAACAACCACCCCATGTTTTAAGATATCACAAAAGATGGTTTATAAAATCCATTGACTATATACACTTATATCATTGTTATATCGTATATCTATCATGTTATATCCGACATTTTAACATATCTTAACCAAAGTTAACCAACTCTTATCTATTGGGCGCCCCTCCAATAGATGACACATGAACAAAAAACAAGGTGAGGCAGGAGCCTCGTACGAGGTGATTCAGTGGATGGTTGTGAAATCCTGCACCAGTTAATAGGTGGTAAACATCCCATTATGTATAGGCTTTCTACCATCCCAGGTGCAGGATTTCGCAACCATCCACAGTAGAATGCTCGAAAAATGCACAGTAGCTGGTTGTTTAAGATTAATTATCCTCTGGTAATTTGTTGCATAGCTATTGAAAATGGCCCAGTCGACATAGTTGATTTTCCCATTAAACCACCATAAAATCCCATTAAACCAGCATAAAATCCCATAAAATCCCTTAAAATGGCCATAGACAGTTCGTTGATTTTCCCATGAATAGCATGGTGGTTTTCCCATCCGTTTTTTGTATCGTTTACCAGGCCGGCTTTTATGGGAGAATCATGGAACTGGCACCGCTCTTTTCTCCAATGGCCAGATACGATTCTATGTCTTATGTGCGCACTCTGAAGACATCCCGGCACACAAGAAGAACTGATCCCGTGGGTGCCAGGAATGCCACTTAAATTTTAGGGGGGGAAGCGAAGCATTATTGGGGGGGAAGACTTGAGCAACAACCATACCGCGGCCATATTCGACGATCTCAGCCAACCTCAGCAAGGCAAGGGATATGGCACCGCTCTTTTCTCCAATGGCCAGATACGATTCTATGTCTTATGTGCGCACTCTGAAGACATCCCGGCACACAAGAAGAACTGATCCCGTGGGTGCCAGGAATGCCAAACCAATGGACACTGTTAGCGATACATAAGTTCCCATTGCTGTGACTGGACAATGGCTACAAAGTTTTAGAACCCCAGGAGCTTCATCATTGGCCGTGACAACCTTTCCATGAGAGCATTGTGGAAAACAACAGCAATGCGATTACACAATTTTGTAGGATAAGGTTGGGCAGTGAGAGTCAGGAACTGACGATTGACTTGACCACACAACTGCGTATGCGCCCGATGAGTGCGGCTGCAAATTCCTCGACAACCCTGGCAAAGTCGAGGCACCAACGAAAAATCGAGATGGCAAGTCAAAACCTTGGTGCGTTTGCGCCACGGTGTGCCATCTTGACAGTAGTCGGTGACATGCATGCTGGTACGGTCATGTATGAGGAGATGAGCAACCTTTGGGATCAGCCAGAAACGGCTAGAACTGGGATTTTCTATAGCTGCAGGAATGCGCGCCTGCCAACACATCTTGAAGACACGAAGCGAAAACTTGGCTAAGTTGTTTCCTAGTCTAACACGATCTTGGTCACTGGTAGAAAGATTGTCAAGACCCCAAAGTTGACTATCGGATCGAAGGGGTGAAGGCCCTTTGCCATCATTACGTCTGGCGCGTGACCAACTAGTGCATGGCGTGCCCATCCACACGCCGGCAATTTTGTCAAGGCTAATTAGCAAGAGTATGAAATCTTGCAAGGCTCTTTTTGACAAGTCATGTGAGGCATCCGAAGCAATGTCGATTTCGACAACGTGAAATCTGTGTTTCACTCTGCGATGAAGTGCTTTCCTTAGTCGGCCAGACCCGGAGAAAAGCTCAAGGAAGATGCTGCGTTTGGGAGCTTGGAGCATCCAATGCAACGGCCCAAAATAATTGGAAGCTGCTTTTCGGCCATGAGGGCGGCTTTCTGTTCTTCTGGGCTCAGGCATCCGAAGACGTGGCTGATGCGGCCCCCTTGTTCGTATCGTCGGAGGCTGCTCAGACTGCGCCAACGACCCCTTTTCATCAATTCTTCCATTGATCTCTGTTGGGTGAGTCTGTCGGTGGAGGCTGATCCATGGCGGATTTGGTACACGCTTTGCACGCCATGAGGACGGTAACCACATGCGTCGAGGGCTTGGCCAAACCCGCTGCTCACATGAGCCATCTTGAAATCGAACACCGGCATGCTTGCTCTCTTCCCTTTCTTCAGGTGCTTGAGGATTGCCCCCAACCACAAGAGAGAAGGATGGTCGATCAGCACTGCTTCGTCCAGCTCGTGAGTCTTCGAGGGCTGTGACTGGCCTTCCACTGGAGAACTTTCTGACAGCAATACCGACCAACGGCGATTGACCTGATTGGGGGCGACTATCTGCCGCCACTTCAGCTTCAGAGACTCGCCGGGTCGGCAGCACAAGCTCCATGTCAGAATCAGGTGGACACCAACCATGGGTTCTGTCAGCTCGATGACAATGTGCTTGACTACCTGTGCCAACATGGGAAATGGAAGTGGGACTCTGGCCATGGGTGGCGCCAACTTCTTGAAGGCACGAAGAGATCTTGAGCACCTCACCAGCAAGCTGAGCTTCGGCACATCTGTTCTCATGTGTTTGATGGCTGCCATCATAGTCATTGCCCCCGACACACCATCTCCCTCGAAGTACATCATGTCCATCCACCAAGCCGCTGCTGCATCCACCTCTTTGAGGCAGGTCATGGGATAGCCTTGGTCCTCTGCAAACTCTACTAACTTCATCCAAGCCATCTCGTATGATTGCAACCGAGTGCTGGTGATGACCCTTTCTTCCAGGAAGGTTCGGGTCTGAATCTTTGAAGGGGGAGGAGGCTTTGGCGCTCCGTGCAGAGCCAGCCTGGCATTCGACTTGGTCAGCTTCTGGGCCTTGCGACTTGTGCCAACCAGCAAGTTCGGCTCGTCGGCGAGCCCAAAATTCCCACTCCTTTCCACCATTACGGCACGCGGCATAGTATGCTGCCGCTTGTTGTCGCCATGAGTGGCGTGAACGATGGCTCTCTTCAGCATTTATCAAATCCCCGATGCTATCCCAGATATTATAGTTAGAGAGGATCCTATTTCTTGAAGGCTTATCAGCTGGATTGAGTTCAGACGGACACCAACGATAATGCAACTGGAAATCACATGCCAATGAGAGTGCTGCTATCTGACGGCAGATTCTGTTCATGCCACTGCTACCACCTCTACCTTTGGTGAGTGCCAACACGCAAGACATGGAATCAGACAAGAGGAGATGTCTTTTCTCATGGTTGTTCACACTCCTAGCTAAGTGCTGGACTGCCCAAACCAATGCACGACCTTCCAAGGTTACAATGTGTTCTTGCCGATCCCATGCTCTGCTCTCGACACGCGTCCACTCAGAATTCAAAAATTCCACATCTAACTCAGGCACAGGAAGAGAGAGCATGTCATGTTGGGACTGGCCTTCCCCCACGTCAGAGAGGGCGTGCATGACATCATCGGCCTCATGCCCCGACAAAAGCAATCTTTCTTGGTCACTCGTGAATCTCCACCTATCTTGAATCCGTGCTTGAGCTCTCACTTGCTCTTGGGTGCTTGTCATCTTGGCCACCCCACGACCCCAGTGCGACGCATCAGTGGCGAGGACCTGCGGGCTCCATGGGGCAGCCATGTTGCGTGACACAAGTGGCAAGAGTGAACATGCCCATTTCAACTCGCGCACAACTTGAGGCCACAAACGTGAATGAACATGATAACACTTTTTGACAAAAACATATGTTGCTTGGAAACATGACAGCAGTTCCCTCCGCAACAAAGATGCAAAAGTCAAGTGACCCAACAACTTTTCAACCAATTGTCCCGTCGCCCAACCCTGAGAAAGGAGCTCGAGGACTCCCAGTCTCAGCTTCCACAGGCGGCGTGGAGTCATGGTCACCTGGGCAGCGGTGTCCGAAAATTTCCACCCCAAAGTTTCACCCCCGATGTCGTCTTCCACATCGTGAGTGGGCAGGCCCCTTTGGTTGAGGGCTTGTGCTACATCGTGTGCAGACTTACCGGCAATACCATGCTCTTGCGAAATAGCAATATAATTATCAACATATTGGGTGTGCAAAAAAGGCCTAGGAGCAGGGATGGGAGCTCCATCATGGAAGCGCAATGCAGGCGGAATGGTGCTAATTGAATCAACTACTTTTTCATGGCATTGTTGGCAAATCCACAAGGCATGTGTCCACCCCATTGGTACCACCCTGAAGACCGGGAACACGACTTGGTCCCTGGCAACTGGCGCGCCCTGTACCATAGAGATACCTGCCTGTTCAGCAGTGAGCGGAGCTAAACCAAAGAGGTCTCTAAACTCATCCGGGAGTTCTATCCCGTAGAACGCGTCAGCGATGTCTACCCCTGCAAGTTCGATGGGATCGGCATGATCAACTTCGATCTGTGCAAAGGAAGAACCAGTCGCAAGTTTAACAGGACAAGGGGACCCAAACCAACAATTAGACCGACGAGCATCTACAACTAGTCGCTGTTTTCCGCTCTTCTTCCAAACCACAAAAAGCCCTGCCTTCTCACGAACACTCAGCCGGAAGTCGATGAGGTTGGATTGCAAGAGACGACGGATAAACTGCTGGTATTCAGTGCCCCCTTTCCGGAGACATGGGTCAAAGTAAGGTTTCCTAAGGCTACTCCCCTTAAGCTTCGCTTCCACTTCCCCAAAAGTTAAAATCTTACTGCGCAATATTTCCAACATCTTCTCAGCCTCAGCACTGCCCAAAATGGTCTCCAAGGAAGAGGGAGATCCGGCAATGCTGGGCAATGACACACGGTCAATTTGGAAATTAGCAAGGCTAGCTGGTTCCCCAGAATAGCCCAACGAGGCCCGAAGCTCTGTCAAGGCTCCCTGGCCAGAAACATCGCTTGGGGGCTTCCCAAGCTGCAAAACCGACTCATGGATCCGCTTTAAACATTTCTTTTGGGAAAGAGTGGGACCATGAGAAGGAGCAAAACCAGCCATCAATTCATCACCAAGATACATGCTATTGAGTGATTGAACAATGTCAGCCACCCATTCATCAACCCGCTCCCTACGTTTCACTCGACGGTTACAGGCTCTGGAAAAATTCTGTACAACGTTCAGCTTAGACTCAGGCATGGGCAAAGGGAAAACCCCACGCTGTCGGCCAGAAGCTTCAGGGCACTGAGGTGGTGGGTGTCCATTGCACCCACCGTGCTGCGCTCGATGGATCATTTGGAGGCCGCGGCCCTTTCTTCTCGGGCCTTACGGACTTGCTTCATGATGGATGCATCTTTTTCGATCTCTTTTGAAACGTATTCCAAAAGATCTGGCGAAATCATCACATCGCCATATTCGCGATGGGTTCCAGTGAATACAGCAGCCTCAGCACGATATGACAAATCCTCGGACTTTTTGTCCTTTTGCTCCTTGCCCTTGCCGTGCCCTTTACCTCCACCAGGCCCTTTCTCTGGCCAGAAGTATTCGATCAACTGCAAGCGACGAAAAAGGAGTTCAACGCCGGCCAAGTTGGCTAAGTCCAGGCCGTCATATCGACCAAGGCGGTCCACGACCTTCATGAGGTTCTCATGCTCTGCAACCCCCCAAGAATCTGCTTGAAGGCCATTCGTGGACACCCACCACTTGTGATGATCTGGAGGCCCACCACTCTTTCGATTGAGGTACTGGACACACCACTGTGAGGTGCGGGGCCCAGGCACATTCCAGTCTTGCAGGGCTTCCTGCTGACAATCCTTGGCCACATCTCGCCAAATCCGTTGTTCCCTGGAAAGCCCTTGGAATTCTAATCCAAGCAAACGAGCATCGGCTGAAGCTTCTCGTCCAGGATACTTCTCAAGGTCCTCTTTGCGAAGCTTTCTGATGGCAGCCCATTTGCCTTCAAAGGTCTTGAGACCAACCTCACCTTGAATCATCTCACTCCCATCCAGCATGATTGTGTCACCACGACGCCGCTCACCATCCGTCTCAACCAGAACCCAAACAGCATTCTCATCCGGCGCTCCAGCAGCTCCTGCCTGTGGGGCAGCAGCTGCAGGAGCAGCAACGTGCGGTCCGGCTCCTGGAGGATACGCAAGGGCCGCGGCAGCATGGCGAGCATCTGCCATCATCTGCTGCATAGCCACTGCACCCGGGAGCTGTCTGATCCTGTAGGTGTTGGCATCTGTCAGTCCATGAGGGAGACCAGGGCCATGAGCAACTCGGAATCCAATGATGTCATCGTTTTCAAGTGAGATCAGCTCCGGGTAGACATCCTCATCCGGTGTCAGGATGATATGCCAGCCCCGTCCACATGCGCAGGTGGCCAGAACATAGCGCTCGTGCCACAAGATTGGCGGGGGGAGATCATAGCACAAGAACACTCGGGTCCCTTCAGAGAGAGCCATCACTGTTGTCTGCTAGCCTGTCGTCGGCGCAATGCTTGCAACTGTTGCTGAGCAAGCTCCTGCACCGCCTCTTCCACTGATTCCTCTCTGGCCTCTACGTCACGCACCACTCCCTTCAAACCAGGGTCACTCACTACGTGAGGCCACTTCCACTGCCACAAGTAGGAGAAAACTCGCAGTCCTTGAAGAATGATGCCAACGCTCACCCACACAGCGATCTTGATTATTTCCCACCAAATGCTAATGCCAGGACACAAAGGGATATCGCACTCACAACGGCAGTGGCACTCGACCGGGTTGGAAGGCGACGTTCCCCGATCAAGCACCGATGCCCATAACGCACCTCCTACAAAATCCAACCACCTCATTGAAGACTTGAGCAACAACCATACCGCGGCCATATTCGACGATCTCAGCCAACCTCAGCAAGGCAAGGGATATGATACCAGAAACCTGCCAGAAACCTACCAGGGATTGGTCAACATTTAAGCAGCAACCTATGGGTGTCTACTATGGGTGTCTACTATGGGGACATGGTGGTCTACATTTAAGCAGCAACCCATATTTAATGATGGTGATTTTCGGACATGGTCTATGGTTGTGCCTACTTCAGTTAGGGATTCCATGTTAAACATGAATGTAGAGAATGACATGGTGGTTTTGGGCCTTTGGGCGTCTGTCAATTATGGGGCGGACCCATTCTGCCCAATATTGCTGGCAAAAAAACCCAACGATGTTCATCGATAAGAATAAAAATCCTCGTCAACAATAATAACAACACCACGGATTATCATTCTCAGTGATGATGAGAATAGGCATTAATAATCACAACTAGCTATAGTCATCAGCAATTTTCTTCACAACCACTCCAACTGCTGTCTTTCCGCTCCTCCTTCAACAAGTTTTCCTTGCAGAAGGGACATTTGCTCCTTAGATGCGACGACCAGAAAATCCGCCATTTTGTGGATCATGTTCCTTGTATGTTTACCTTAGGGTACCAATCAATTGGGAATATCACGGGGATTCCAAATGAAATAATATAAAATATATCATGAGAAACCATATTTACACACATTTACACAACATAGATTTATAACATAACCAACATTCCCTGATCCGAAAACTGCTTTCCGAATTCTGATGATCCCTATTTTGCCATGGAACATGCGGAATGAGAATCCCGCGATGGAAAATGAACACATGTGGAAAACATGATCTGATCGTGACAAATCTTACCCTCTGGTAAACTATACAAAAAAAACTATGGAAAATCACCATGTTTAATGGGAAAATCCTCTATGTCTATGGTCATTCTCAATAGCTATTTTGACATAACCAGAGGGTACATGTTTTTTCCAGTGTTAGGGGAATCAGTCTGATCTCAAATAAGGTCGTTCAGATTTGCATCCCTGGTGGCTTCTGAAATTGGGTACGCACGTGGGGTGTCTTGAAGGGGTGGATTTACCGCCAGTAAATTGCAATGTCAGCAAGTTAGTTTTTCCCCTTAACAAAGATGATTTTCTCAACAAGTTAGCTTTCCCCTTAACTGCATTTCTAAGTACCTTAACTGCATTTTCCACTACTTAGAAATGCAGTTCCACTTCTGGGAAGGATATAGGGGCCTAGCTCAAATCCGCCAATGGAAAATCCCAATGTTTTCTTATTTGGGAAATCATCCACCCCCGTTTTTGAGGTGAAGTTTTGCCTATGTTTCACTTACTTATTGACCTATTAAGTTTCAAGTTGCCATGTAATTTCAATACAGTCTCATTTTGAGCCATAACAAATTCCAAAAAAAACACCTATCCCATCCCAATCCCATTATACTGGTTGGTTCGTAGGTATCGAATTTCATAACCCGCCAACCATCGTTTCTTGGTGGTTAAAACCCACGTTTTTTTCGATTGGAGCCCGACATTGAAGCTTTCCACATCAGTCAACAGTGCTATGTTTATCTATTTCATGGTTTATTCATTTGGTCATGTTTCCTTACTGATAACGATCAAATGACTATGAAACATGACCAAATGATTAATAATGGTCATAATATGTCATAATGATTATGTCCAATGATAACGAAATGACATGAAATGACCATATTCAGACATTTTTCCAATTTTTGTTCCAATGATTAAGAACATGTCCTCTTTCAATGGGAATTTCAGGATCCTAAAGTGGAGGTACTGTACCATATAAGGGTATATTTTCTAGGGATATCCCCTTACATAGGCCTTATAGAAGCCTTATATATGGTAGGTACCTCCAATAAATCGGTTCCTACGCCTCAGCTCCCTTGCGTGGCCTGCGAGGAGCCGGCGGCTTCTTCCTCGTAGCGAAGATCCAATCTGAAGAGGGGGGGATGTGAACTGCCTTGGAATTCAGCAACCCGTAGCACCGCAACTCGTAGCAATCTCCCTTGAGCTCAAAAGTCCATGCGAAGACCACTCCACGAGAGATGGCTGCATTCTCACCGTGAAGATGGGGAAGGCCAGTGAGGTGCTTGCCCTGCGAAAAGTATGGCACCCATTCGGTCCTGGAGCGGGTGCCCATGGTGCACTGTGAGATACCTGAAATGGCCATTGACCTCTTGGTTGGGGCCAAATTTCTGCGATCCACGACTGGCTCCACCGCTGCCGCTGTTTCCAAGATGTTCCAAGCCCATCGATCAGTTGCTGATAGGAATACCCCAGAAATTTCAAATGTTGGAACAACAAGATCTAGAAACTTAAGGGGATTATCAGTTTTTCTCGCCTATAGCCACTATAGCCGTGTTCTTTTTGGACCTGATGACTTGTAGATAGGAATACCTAACTGCCCAAATCAAGGTGGGGACCCAGCGATGAATAGCGCTAGTTGTGAACATATCTCCAATACAAAAAAATGTGTATATATATATGATATACATATATATATATATCTATAGTAACTATATAAAATACATTTATATTTTGTATTGTATATGTTTATACATATGGTATATACATTTATATATATATTTATGGTTATAAAATGTGATAAACTAATTAACTGATGACTGGGGCATCACCTTTTAGGATTCGATGTCCATTCGCCAAGTGTCTGCCCATATTCTTGCCGACATCGACCACACATCTGATGCTCCGACACATCTCCAACCTGAGCGATCGCTGCGGTGATCAGTGATAGAAAGTGATAGATTGGATAAAAAAGGGGGAGATGGGAAAAACAACATGAATTTGGTAAATCACAACTATTAGATCCATTATGTAGTTTTTCCCATTTATGGCAGCTAGTTTATCCACTTATAACTGGATATAAATGGGAAAAACAACATGAATTTGGTGACGTATACCAGGGGGCCATTAACCAGTTACTAAGCGGGATGATCTTCCAAATCAAGCCAAGTCTCACCATGTTCTGGGTATACCCGATGCTCATGCAAAAACCATCGGAAATCACAATCTATATTGTTGAAATACCTGCCGTTGAACGTGCCCCTTGCCTTGTGCTAGAAAAGTGAAGTTGTAGATTAACAGTCCATAAAAAACGTTGGTTTTGGATGGTTTTGGAGGTCCTTTGTTGCCATACCCGACCCATTTCGTACGCCCCCGAACATTGTTCGGTTCAACCCATCCTGTTGGGCTTGAGATGGTGCTTGCCTTATTGTTGAGGGGCTACTTGTGGCGGAGTAGCGTATCTGTATCTTCTCCATTAAACGCATTCAAAGATGGTTTTATGCCAAAAACAAATTGATGATATATTTTCACTCCAAACTCACCCATTCGGGATCTAACTGAAATAGCCACATTATTGTTGGCCAATCTACCCACCTAAAAAAACAGCTGTTCATTGTTGATGATGTCGCATTGACTTTGCGGAAGTCATCATTGAGGTTAGTAATATGGCCACAGTAATAATCCAATCCGATCCCTCCAATATTCGATACATCCAATACAGGATCTCACATTGGCCAGGGCTATATACACCTCCGCAACTAACCTACAAGGATGTGCCCTTAAATGTAAATCCTTTTATATGTTGTGTATGTAATTTTATAATATCGTTCAAGTATATTTTTGCTTAGTGTTAATTCTATAAATCAGGTTAAATTTATATCTATAGATAGGGAGGTATAACATCAAAGAGCATATATATATATATTTAAAAAAGAATACAAAAAAGTTAGCAAAGATAGCTGTTTTTTGACCTGAAAACCAATGTTTTTTTGCTGGCATGTTTTTTTCTGCTCAAGTGAAGCACTATTTCCCTGGAAGCATCACTCTACTTGATGGGATGCAGAATCAACATGGTATAGCCCAACCAAGCAAACTGCATCTCACTTTGATGCTTGGCCAATGGGGAGATGTTGAAGTTGATTTTGGGATGGTCTATATTCAATGGCCATGCAACAGGATCCGATTTATTGGAGGTACCTACCACATATACGGCCTATTTTTGAGGCCTATGTAAGGGAACATCCCCACAAAATATGGCCTTATATGGTACAGTACCTCCATTTTAGGATCCTGGAATTCCCATTGATATATATCCATTGATTTTGGGATGATCTTTGGGCCCCGCTTTGTGCCAGGGATTTGTTCGCCTCTCCCTGTGATTTTTTCCCCCGCGCTTGCTGCATCAGCATCTATGTTCTAGTTCAGAGTTTAGACCTTTCGTAGGGTGTTTCTCAGTGTTTATGAAGAACAAAACAAAGAACATGGCAAAGGGATACAGTAAAAACAAATGGCTTCTCGCTGGTCTTCCTGTTGTTCCAGTGCGGCACAGGAAAAAAATTGGACAACCTAGCGCTGCCCAATACAAGGGCTGCTGTCATTCACAGCAATGAGAACAGCTGGTAAACAGATCCATAAACGAGAGAAACCATGGGGAAATAAATAAATCGAGTGGTTGAAAGTTGAAAGTAACATCGAACATCGCACAAAAACCTTGGGATCTCGGTTATCTTGCACAAAAAAAACGACTTTTAGGAGGGTGGTATATACCGCCACTATGCTCCAGTAACATCATTGACATAGTTTCCATGAACATGCAAATCATAAATACCCCGTTACAAGGGTTTACCTCGGGAAAGTCGTTTTTGGATGCCTTTCCCTTCCGGCAAAGCAGGGCAAGAACTTGTCTGTGTCTATTGATCTTTTCTGAAACTTAAGGCATGGGCAGACACACAAGCAACACGACTTCGTGCCACTGCAGCTCACTTGATGAATCTAACTTGGAAAACTTTGGCATCAAGGACAGAGGTGTACAAAAGCTTAAAGTGTGCCTTGGGCCATGGATCCACGATTGCTTGCATGGATGCGCAAGTTCATTCCCTGTGTTTCCACAAAAACATAGAAACGCACATGTGTACCCTGATGACACCAAAATGGCAAGGGAACGCGATTGTGTTTCCAGCTCTCATCACCATCGTGCTAGGAAACGCGTATGTTTTAAATGGTTTTTTTTGGTCTTTCCTCAAGACTGAAACCCGTAGCTGTTTTTCTCGCTCAAGCTCACCCGAATCGCTATTTTTGCCAGAAACTCTTCACATTTCGAGATCAAAAGGGTCAGGGAACGACATGCAGCGGGAAAAACGGAACTTGCCAGAATCACATGACAAATTGCCAAACAAATGCAAAATTTAGCGCAAAGAAAGATACAAGAGATCTAATTTAACTTACAAAACCTATAACCAAACTTAACATAACTTCAACTTAACTTCCCTAAGTCCTTTTATAAAGCCCCTTAGTCTATCTTAACTCAGGGCGCATCTTTGTAGGGATAGATCACCAAATAAGTCGCAACGAATCAAGATATTACCAGTACTGGGATCAGCTCATGGTTTTAACCATCTTGAAAAATATGAAAGTCAATGGGGTTGATGGAAAATAATCCAAATGTTCCAGACCATCAACCAGTATATATATATATATGGACATGTGACAACTGTGACAACTCCAAGTCAGAAAGAAACCCATTTTGGGTGGGTTTCCTCAACATTTTCCCATCGGTGGATTCTCCACATGCGTTTTATGGAGATTCCCAGCGATGCTGGGTTTGTGGAACATCTCCAACAAAAATTAGGTAATCATGGGTAGTTAATAGGATATAATAGGTAATATCACATGTAGTATAATAGGTCATATATTAATATATATTAGGTAATTTATAGGATATAATAGGTAATATAAGCGCCTATAATCCTATTGATGGCTTATATTACCTATTATATCACCTGTTACCCTCCTGTAAACTAACATGACCATGGAAAATCACCGTTTTTAATAGGAACATCCACTGTTTCAATGGCCATTTTCAATAGCAAACTGTTAGTTTACCAGAGGGTATCAATTTATCACATCACCATTGATGGCTTCAAAACCCGAAGCTTTTCCCTTTTAGCCTCAACTTAACGCGAAGCCACGGCCCAGCGATGATGTTCGATGATTCACCGATTACCAACATGGTGAATTCCATAGCTATGTCAGCATTCCCAGAACATCCTGTGACCAAAAATCCTGGGTGTCTGAACATAGGAACCGTTTTTGTGGCTTTCGGAAAATGATCACACCCATAAACTATAGGGATACTATAGCTAATTGGTGGTTGAGCCTACCCCCCTGAAAAATATGAGTTCGTCAAATTGGATCATCATCCCAACTATTGAGGAAAATAAAGGTCATGTTCCAAACCACCAACCAGCTATGTTAGTTTACATTAGTTCACCAGAGGGTACATCCGAGATAATCCCAAACGAATTCACCAATGTGTTTAATCAAACACAAAATGTTAGTTCACCAGAGGGCACATAACTCATCAACCAGGAACTGGCCGCCAATGTTCCAATCGCTCCACATCTGCTTGCTCCTTGCAGCTTGGTGATGTTTTCAAGTGGAACAAAGTGGGCACTCACCACTTCCAACAACAAGGTTGGCTTGTACTGGAGGATCATCCAACATAATAACTGGTTAGTAAGAGGGGTTACAACTTTATAACCCACTTATCTATAAATATTTAAGAACCTCACTGAATGGGACTTACTATCTAGGGGTATTAACAACTTACTAAGTGGGATGTTCCTCCAAGTAACCGATCAAATAGAATGAACACATACCAATTCTAAGTATAGGCCCCCCAATTTTCAATTCTCTCTTGTGGTTTATAAATCTATCCAACTATATATAGTGTATATATATATAACAAGCCTCTGCTCGCCTAGTTAGAAACCAACATTTTTTTTTCTTGGGGTCACGTTTTTCGGAACATCTCCGAAACTTGTCATCGCTGGCTGGGTTGGATGGCCAAAGGGAAATCATAATATATATATATATACCATCTGGTTATTTAACAGTTCATGGTATAGATGGCCCATAGAAATAGATGGTTTACCGAACTTAAACATGGTGATTGTCCATGGCTATGTAACAGTCATAACCAGAAGGTATATCAACCTTCGGAGATAAACTTTGACAAAGTCAAGGCTGCATGGTTCACAGCCCAGCTATGGGATTGATGCATGTACCATCATATAAATGGGGCATTAACAATACTTTTTTGGTACAAATATGTATATACATATGTATATACATATATGTATATACATAACATATGTATATATATATATATGTTTACGTATATATATATATATATTATGGATTTGTTACTTATGACTGATATATGATGGTTCGTAAATATAGCAACTTTTCAACGGTCACAAAAACAACACCGGCCGGGCACCGCCAAGATCCCCATAAGCCTCGCCTCGAAGCAAATGGGGCCTCGGAAGTTTCATGGTTTGCTGGGAAGTTTCATAGGTTATCCGGTAAATCCCCTATTGGTTGTTGGTTTATATGATCCCAATCTACGGTTTGTTTATGTGTTTTTTTTCAGAAATCCAAAAAACTACCACTTCAATGCTGAATTCGAACGTGTGAACGTGGTCATCTATCTGCACATCCAACGGTTTTTTTTCACAACAGGTCAGGTGAGACTCGATGGTTTCATTGAACATCTACAGAAAACCATCAACTAAAGCCATGGTACCTGAAATATAACCATAAACTATATAGTTATTTATAACTATATCCCCTAGTGGTTGTTGGTTTATATGACCCCCCAAAAAAACTTTTTTTTAGCTGGTTGGTGGTTTTAACCATCTTGAAAAATATGAGTTCGTCAATGGGAAGGATTATCCCATATATTATGGAAAATAATCGACATGTTTGAAACCACCCGATTGGTTGTTGGTTTATATGATCTAGTATGATATATATATATATATATAGAATGATATTATTATGACTATTATAACTATATCCCCTATTATATATATATAAATTAGGGTTTGGATTCTTCATTCTTCCCCACTCCAATCCCAGGTTTTGGGTGGCCCAACAGATGTCACGATGCGGTTCCATTCGCAACTGCGACGTCATGGCGGCGGAGGGCCTGGATGTCGAGGGAACGTTTGGACGTCTGGAGACGTTTGGGCTGGAAACATCATAAACATCTCCACAGTTATAGCCGTAGAAACCAAGCATAAATGGTGAAATAACTGCTTATTTCTATGGGATTATAAGTACAAAAATGGGATTATAAGTACAAAAATAACTGGTAAAGGGCCATAACTGCATGT